GGCTGTGCATGCTCTCAGAACTTTATTAGGTGGAGTTTGGGCAAGACAAAACCCCTGAAACAGTCACCCCTGGCTTAGGACAACTGGACTGGAGGAGCCTTTGCTTGGAGGCTTGCTTTCGTTGAGGTGAAAGCTTTGAACTGCTCTTGAAAGGGAGCTGCCTGGCTGGATGTCTCAGCATCTCAGTTCAGATGATTTCATATGGACAGCCAGAGGGAGGCAAGTCTTTGGGGCCGAGACCAAGCCCCTGCTTGAGATGAAGATCAGCAGGTGCCCAGGTTTGACAAAAGGGGACCGACCGAGACAAATGAGAGAAGGAGCACTTTCTTGAAGAGGTACGGAGGAATGACAGAGCAAGAGAAGTTGTGATTCCTCAATGGTGCCTGACCTGCAAACCCAAACCTTCCTGACCAGGCAGAAGAGCTCGGGAAGGCCTAACGGCAGAAGGGGGAACTGCAACGGGCCCCTGGAACGGCATGGCTCTCTGCTGGCTTCTATCACATTTACAAATACATACATAAATACACTACATACAACAGGGAGCTAGGGTGGCAGGTTCCCCCAGATGCTTGGCTGACATAACTGCATGGCTCAGGAGTTGTAGGAAAGGGTGCTGGGCTCCCAGGTATCTGCTCCATGTGCTCACTCTTGCCCAGGGAGACCCCACCCCAGACCCCCCATCTTCAGGTTCAGGTTCAGTTTGTCCAGTATGGAGAGTTGCCATAGGTGGCTTTGGAGGCTTGAGACTTGGGCTGCAGGGAGCTGGGCTGGCTGCGCTGGGCCGAGCCACTCTGAGGAGGGAGGGGGGGAGGGAGGAGGGAGAGAGGCTGTCAAGGCTGCAGCAGGATCCCTGACCCAGGAAGGTGGAGGCCTCCGCTACTGCTCACCTGGGCATCCTGCGGGAGGTGGTGGTGCAGCAGCTGCGAGTGGGGCTGCTGGTGAGCAGGCAAGATGTGCAGGAAAGGTGGGGGCGCATAGCCAGGGGCTGCCCCAGGGGCCAAGGGCCCTGTGGAGCCTAAGGCTGAAGGCAGGCTGAAAGGCGGAGGGGTCCCTGCATGAAATCCCTGCTTGTCAAAAGTCTGCAGTACAAAGATGACAGAGGTGGCCATCAGGTTGGACCACACCTCCCAGCAGGCTTCCCCTCCACCCTGTCCCTTCCTCCCTCACCTGAGTCTTGTTGTAGACAGACCCAGCCATATCAGGGAGGCCAGCGGTGCTTGAAGACACCGACACTCCTAGGAGAAAAGGCAATTATTCCCACAAGAGCTGGTGCCAGGTCCAACCTCCACACACGCGTTCCAGGGCAGTCTGGGGTAGCCCTCAACCCAGGAGGAGACTACTGGAGGAGGGATGGGTGCTACCTTTGGCAGACCCAGACCCCGCAGACTTGCTGGGAGCCTGTGCTGCACCGCCATAGCCAGCCTTCGTGTAGTCTCCGGCCGCTGTACCCTGGGTCAGGTCGTCGTAACCTGGCGTTACAGAGGATGTGTGAGCCAGGCAAGCGTGTCCTTGAGGTCCCCATGCCCCTACGTGCAGGAGTAACCTTCACCTGTGCTGTAGCTGTGCTGGCCATAGCCGCTGGTCTGCTGGAAAGGGGTGCTGGGCGTGCTGAGGTTCACACCGTGCTGCTTGGCTGACGCTGGAGGAACCTATTGGAGCAGACACGTAAGGTGTCTCGTGTAGGAGCAAGGTGAGGTGATGACCAGCACCTGGCTGCAATACTGTCACATGCCAGCGCACTGAAGAGTTGCAGGACCCTCCACCCCCAATGTCCACTTTTGTCCACAGGAGCTGGAATTTGGGTTCCAGGGCTTGCAGGCTTCTCAGCAAGTGTGCCGATACTCACAAACATTGTGGGCCCATACTGGAAGGCACCGGGCATGCCTGTGTAGTAGGGCAGGCCAGTGTAGCTGTAGCCAGGCGGCAGCGCAGGATTCAGGAAAGGCTGTTGCGCAGTGTGGTGGGCCTGGGACTGGCCCTGCTGGGGCTGAGCTAGTGTAGTGGCAGGTGCAGGTGATGCGGAGTCACCTCGGCCAAACTTGGTGACATCACCTAGAAGAAAGTGGCAGTAACTTGAATTACTGCCATTATCCACCCAGTGGAAAAGCCAGACTGATTCCCTGGGCTCCTCTGTGGACAACTGGAAGACTCCCCTCTCAAGCTTCATCTCCGGAATCCACTGTCAGGGACTAGGCCTGCCCGTTTCTGCTTCTGGTCCGCTGAACACACTCACCTGAATAGGGGTTATTAATTAAGCTCCCATCTCGGCCTGCAAGAGCTGTGGGGGCGGCGAAGGGAATCCCCCCGTAGTAATCCTAGGAGAGAGAAAGGAGTCTGGTCAGCAGCTGGCCCAGCCACACTCATGGAGGCCGCCAGGTCCTGGGTGCCTGCTGTGCCCTGCCAGTCAGAGCTGGTACAGGCCATGACTCAAACACACACTTGGACCTCTGGCAAAGGCTGCAGGCATTGGCACCCCTGGCTTTTCAGGAGCGAGAATTAGAAAAGCCACTAATTGGAAATCAAGCCAACACTGCTTGAAGGGACAGGAGTTATGCCAGGTAGGCAGGGGCAGAAGCAGGATGCCAAGTGCAGTCTCTTAGGGCCTCCTCTCCCTGTGGTAAGCATGGAGACAATGGCTGACACAGCAGAGGTGCCAATGGAGGGCATAGGCCCAGTGTGCTGCTCTGTGAGGAGGGAACCCTATACCACACCTGTGGCCACCACTGCCAGGCACAGCTACCCAGGAATCCTGGTGGTCAGCAAGAGCTCCCAGCAGCCCTTGAACCCACTCTTCTCTACCCTGAACAGCCTCGGCCAGAGGCCCTCAGTCCAAATACAGCAGGTACAGGGGATGCTCAGAAGGGGGAGCCCTTACACAGAAAATGGGTCATTCTAAAGGCAAGAGTTGAACAGATGTACAAACATGAATTAGGGGGCCTAGTGCAGTAGCCTAGTGGCTAAATTCCTTACATTTCATGCTCCGGCATCCCATCTGGGCATGGGCTTTAATCCTAGCAGCTCTGCTTCCCACCCAACTCTCTGCCTGTGGCCTGGGAAAGCAGTTGTGGATGGCCCAAAGCCTTGGAACCCTGTACCCGCATGGGAGACCTACAGGAGGCTCCTAGTTCCTGGCTTTGGATCAGCTTAGGTCCAGCCATTGTGGCCATTTGGGCAATGAACCAGCATTTGGAAGATCTTCCTCTTTGTAAATCTTTCCAATCACAGTGGTTAGCTCTAGCTGCTCACTCTGCTGGTGGCAGAACAGTAACACATGGGCCTGGTGTGCTGGCCTAGCAGCTAAAGTCCTCGCCTTGAATGTGCTGGAATCCCATATGGGTGCCGGTTCTAATCCCGGTGGTTCCACTTCCCATCCAGCTCCCTGCTTATGGTCTGTCCTTAGACAGTCCAAGGCCTTGGGACCCTGCACCCGCGTGGAGACCCAGAAGAGGCTTCTAGCTTCAGATGGGCTCAGCACTGGCCATTTCGGCAGCTTGGGGAGTGAACCACTGGACGGAAAATATTTGTCTCTCCTCCTCTCTGTATATCTGCCTTTCCAATAAAAACTAAAAAGCAAGACGTGACAAGTGAACATGGGTCACCTTGCTGAGGGACACGTGTGGTCAAACCCAGAGGGGGAGGAAGGCTTTACCAAAGTCCAGGGCCAAGGAAGCAAACCCTATTGTGCCACGTGGCTTTCCTTTAAAAACCAAACAAAAACCCCACCACTGCTACCCATGAGCAGGGAGGATGGGAGCCTTGCGTAGCATAGGGTCTTGTCCTAAGCCCAACCAGCCAATCGAAACGATTTTATCAAGGCTGATACACAGTAGGGTAGGCAAAGCCAGGCAGGGTAGCAGCGAGGGTGTGGTGCCCAGGAGGCACACGTGCAAGCCCCACTGTGTAGGCATGCTTCCACCCACCATGGGCAGCCGGGACTGCAGCATCTGGAGCTCATCGTAGCCGTAGATCTGCAAGAGACCCAGAAAGGGCCTGTCAGGAACCCTGCCATGAACAGCAGCTGGACAAGCCTCACCGGGGAGTTCCGGCTTTGACAGGACATAGGGGAGGACCCATCAGGGTTCAGGGGGGCAGATGTGGGATGGCAAGGTGGGCACCCCATGTGATGCCCACCACCTCCCTCCCCCAGAGTTCCCGCCAAGTCTCTGCCCCCGGACCAAGGCAAAGGGGCGCTGGGGATGCTAGGGGCTCACCGGGTAGGCAGGAAGCAGTCCTCCAGGGCCCACAAGGTACTGGCTGGGCAGCAAGGGTGGCAGCCCCTGGGGCAGATTTGGGGGCGGCTTGCCTGCAGGGAGACCAAGCACACAGTGCTGCATGGCTGCGTAGGGCGACTCCACAGCTGCTCCGGTGGGAGGTGTGGGCCACGGGACAGACAAGCGCAGACCAGCATTTTTCGGGATATTTCCAGGATACAGAGCTCGGTGTCTGGGCAGAGCCCCTCCTCTGCAGCCACAAGCATCCGAATCTGCCTCTTCCCAGGCAGAGCCAGGTTTTCCAGCAGCTCCCAGACAGCCTGGCTCAGATGACAACTGGTCACTCAATGTGGCCAGCAGGAGCCCGTGGGAGGGTGCCCTCCTCCCTGCTGTAGCACCATGTCCGCCCTTGCCCTAGGTCTTGAACAAGGACAACCAATATGAGGGGCCCTGAGTCTGCCTCGCGGGAGTCCCCCAGACAAAACCTCCACCCCCAGCAGGCCATGGGGGCAACAGGAAAGGCCCCTGCAGCACGCACCTGAGGTCACCAGGGGTGCGGCCCTGGCCCCGCTGCTCAGTGCACTCCCGGCACCCCCACCCAGGCAGAGGCTGGTGGCTACGTTCATGTTGCTGGGCAGGCTGGCTCCTGAGGAGGTGGCACTCGAGGCAGAGGTGGCTGTTGTAGAGAACGTGGCAGAGGGCTGCAGGGATGGGACACTCTCCACACTGGCATGCTGGCAAAAAAAACAACAAACAAAAAACACAGGACACAGGGAGCTGGAGAGGGCAGCAGAATGCTGGCAGAGCCGAGCCAAAGCCGTGTGCTGTTCACCTCCCCATGGCTGCGGAGATGAGAGGCAGAACAACTTCCCACCACTGATCCTGCTGTAACTTAATCCTGAGACTAGCGGTCATGTGACAACACTGACAGTGCTCTGGACTCTGAGCAGAGGGACGCACAGAAGGCGTGGTAGATAGAGGGCGCTCTTCTGTGAGGTGGAGGTACACACAGGGTGGGTGCCCTGCCCCTCAGCCCCAAAACTGACAACTCGCTTCCACCATGTCCTTCCACAAGGAGGTGGCCCAGCTTGTGGAAGATCCACCCTCTGCTTGGGGACCTGCCTCCAGGAGCTGATGCTGACTGAGGCTCTGGGCCAGGAGCTCAGCCTGCAGCCTTTCCTGCAGGTCAGTGCCCACCTACAGCCTGATCCTCTTCACCCCCTGCCACCAGGCCCGCTTGCTCGTTGCCCCCTCAGTTGTTTCCTCTGTGTGGTCTCTGCAGAACAGGTGCCTGTTAGAAGGGATTCTTCCCAACAGGACTTGTACTGGGACCCAGGATGGAGTTAGCAGCGAAGCTACTCTTCTCTAAATGGCTTTCAAATGAATCAAAACAAAGCCCAGAAAATTAAACCTCTGCTGGCAGATGAAAATCAAACAGCTTGGACAGTTTTTAACAGGAAATTCATCAGCTGCCCAGCCCCTGCCCCGAGGATATAGTAGGTGTGGGAGCAGTGTTGCCACGGGCCAGGCATGCCATGTCGCAATCAGCAGCACAGCCACCTGGCTAGTGTGAGACATTTCCTTCTAGCAGCTTGAGACCGGACCACAGCCCCTCAGCACTGCACCAGGAACTCACTGTGTGGGAGGTGCTCACAGAGAGGGCTGCATGCGAGGAGGGCAGGCTGCTCGGATGGCTGGAGAGGGAGCTGGAAGACAGAACAGACCGCCCAGTGTCAAGGCAGGGAGGGCTGGACTCGGGCTCGTCCACATCCCCAGAGAAACCATCCAGTCCCCATCATGTGCCGGCTGAGCACAGGGACTGAGGGCGCTGGGAGCTGAAATGATCAGTGGGCCAAGGTCACTCTACAGCTTCAGCCCATGAAGACCATCAGCGCTGGGCTGCCCGAGGAGTCCGCTGTGTCTGCACACCCCACTGAATCTGTGGGGTACGGCTCTGTGCTCTACCAACAGGCCACTCAGTGCCTAAAACGCGAAGTCAGAGTAAGTTAAAGGCTTCTGGCTCTAGACTAGAGGTGGGCTGAGTATGTCGCTATCCTCAGAAGGCGGAGACCACCAGCAAACCCACTGGCCCACCCACCCTACTAGGATCAGCTCTCTGAAGGCAGGATAGGTGCAAGGCACATGGCAGTGACCCAGAGCCACAGATCCACCAAGATCCGAGGCCTAGGACACCTTCTGGAGGTGTTGGGGGATGACAGCAAGCTCCCATCCCCACCTTCCCAGGGGATCAAGGACTCTGCTAGCCACAGACCTCTACGCACCTAAGGCCTTCATATCTGGAGTCTGCACGCGAGGGGATTCACGCAGCGGCCCAGGGCATCAAGTGCTTTGCTCACGAAAATACACTTGCCCCTATGTGCCCCTCCTGAGACACACCCTGTCCCTTTACCTGCTTAGCTGAGAGAGAGGGCTGCCAGGTTGGGTCAGGGAGGGCAGACTGGCAGTGTGCTGGGAGCTGGAGGGCAGAGGCGCAGTGCATGAGGTGGAGCTGGGCAGGGGGCCCACAGCTGGAAGGGCCGAGGCAGCGTCTGTCGTCTTTGGAGCTGGAAGAGATGAAGCAGTTGTAAGGAAAGACATCAGCTAGCTCTGGGCCGCAGTCCGAATGCCCGGTAAAGCTCGGTTAAGCCCCTTCTCTGCTAGCAGTGGGCCACCAGAGGCCATGTGGTGGCAGACTCTGCCAGGCTTGCGCTGGACCGATTCCTTCTGCACACCTCACGGCCCCCTGGCCTTGCGCAGCATGCAGAACAGAAATAAGAATGACAAGGCTACCTGCAAGAGGCGGCACGCTCTCCTCTCAGAAGCCTGTTGAGGGTCTCCTGGCAGGACAGAGCTCCCACAAGCATATCCAGCAAGTTAGCTCAGGCCACTGCTGCTGCCACACTGAGGGCATGTGAGGGCAGCGAGCCAGGAATGCAGAACCAATCGGCTCCAACCAGCCATACACGCATTGTGTAACACCCACAGTCAAAAGCATGGTGAGAAGGGCCGAGCCACATGCTGGACCAGGTCAGTCTCAGAGACCAGAAACAGCTTCCTGAGGCTGCAGTCAGGTGGGTGTAACCATGGAAAAGACTCAGTTCGGGGTTCTCCACACATTTGGCTCAGATATGTGCTTGGAAAGGAAACATCACTGTCTTTTCCAGAGAGCAGCACTCCACCCTCCGCTGCTGGCAGCACGAGGGGCTCAGCATGAAGCCCCCTGGGCCAAGGGCGAGAAGAAAACAAAGACGTAGCAACAGGTTCACCACCACATCACTTCATGAACCTGGCCACCCGAGGCAGCCTGCTTCCCACTGGCATTGCACCCCAATGGAAAAACCTGTCATCATCTGCCTTGCCCAGAACTAAAATAAATTGTAATGGCTGGGCCGCAGGTTATATTGCTAACACCTGGGCCCAAAACTCCTTCACTGCAAGTCAGGTAGGGAAGAGAATGGGAAGCAACAAATGTATGTCACATGCAAACAATTGTCTACTAAATACTTCCCATATTGTTTGGTACCGAAACTTAGAACTTCAGTATGCGCCTGCCACCCTAGGCCTGCACCAAAGCTCCTCCCGCCCAGAAGCTCCAGTGGCTCACAGGCTTGGGGCTGTGGGATCCTGGCAAGCCAGCCAGGACATCAAACCTGAAACAAGACTCTGGTGCCCCCACGTTGTCATTTTTGTTCCAATCAAGGTCCTATTTCCAAGCCACTGCAAATACTGGCTGCACATTTACCTTACTGAATCAGGACAGGAAACCACTAGCATCCCTAACAAGCTGGTCAGGGCTCCCGGAGGTGCATCACCATGTTTCCTCCCAAGCATCCAGAGTATCTTCTCTAGCTTCCTAAGCCAAAGAGCTACAGACCCGAAAGCCAATGAAAAAGGGTGGCCATATTCTGCTTTGAAAGTCTCAATGAGCCTGTCACCAGCTCCTGAGAACTGTGAAGCCAAGCAAACCTTAAATAGATCGCACATTCTGCAGTGTGATCAGCAAAGAACATGAGACTATCACCTCCTCCGTCCTCTGGCTGTGACATTTCTAAAAACGTTATATCAGGGTCTGGAACTGCAGAGTGGATTAAGCTGCCATCCACCTACATCCCACAGCTTCCTGATAATGTGCCTGCAAAGGCAGCAGCAGATGGGCCTAGGGTTCAGGCACCAGCTACGCAGGTGAAAACAATGGAGCTCCTGCCTCTTCAATCAGCCTGACTGAGGCCTAGCGGCTACAGCCACAGAAACAACCGATAACAAAGGCTCCTTTCCCTCTCTCTCTCTTCCCTGTTGGTCTGCCTTTCAAAGCAATAAATCCTGGTGCCAGACGCGATGGCTCAATTGGCTAATCCTATTACTAGCAACTGCTGGGATCCCATTGGGATGCTGGCTCATGTCCAGGCTGCTCCGCTTCCCATGCAGCTCCCTGGTTGGGGCCTGGGAGCGTGGTAGAGAAGGACCCAAAACCTTGGGATACAGAAGCTCCTGCTTCAGAATGACTCAGCTTGGGCCGTTGTGGTCATTTTGGGAATGAACCAGCACACATGGGATCTTTCTGCCTCTCTCTAAAATTCTGCCTTTCCAATAAAAATAAATCAATTTTAAAAAGTGATAAATCCTTTAACAACAAAGCCACCACCAATCACCTGCTGGTGAAAAATCTCTAACTAATCTTCTTTACATTACAAGAACAATAGCTTGATTTTATTAACCAGTTTATTTAGCTCCTCTGTAGTGATAACAGCGCAAAAGTGTTAAGCAGAGAAAAATAAAAACACTAGCAGCCAACTGGTGCGCTTGTCAGCATGTGAGTCCCGCGTGCTCTGCTGGGGCTGCCGCAGGCATGATGGGAGCAGAGCCATTTTACTCACCATCTAGTGTCTGCTGACCCCGATCGCCACCATGTCCATTCTACAAGGAAAAGAAGATAAAGTAAGTGATAATCACCTAAATGACTTCCAAAGACCAATAGTGCTTTATTGTTTTAATAAAAAGAGAGGCAATTTGCTATGATGTAATAAATTGTAGGGAGCAGACATTCTTGCAAACCAGATTCAGTGACTGGAGAAAAACAACACAGGCAGCCATGAAACAAACGTCAAGCCATTAGGAAAGATCCTAACTGGACAGATTATGTCCCACCATATTCCCATCTCCTCTAACAAGTTCTGTCTTTCTGTCTCGCTAACATCCCTTGGGTAAGAAAGTACTTCCAAGTCATTAAAAACACTCTCATGCTAAGCAGTGCAGTGCAGTACTGCCTGAATGGATCTCACTGGAAAAAAGAGAAGTGACCTTGCGGCACAGCTTCTGCCGCAGCCGTTTGGACAGGGCCCACTAGAGAACAGAACCCAAATAAACGTTTTGGGAGCCGTTCTGGGACACGCGGCACAGATGGAAATTGGCCTCCCCAGTGAGAGAAGCAAACTCAAGGCACGAGGGAACGGGAGGACGGAAAAGCTCAGACACTGCCACAGCTGAGAAAGAGCAAGAGAAAAAAGACAAAGCAGAGTTTTCCACATAAACATCAAAAACTAAGGAGAAAGACCATTTACCAATCGTGCTTGCAGTAATCTAAAACAAATCCTGCTCAGGAGAATGTTATAATTACGGACAATGCTTCTACTTTGCTTCGGACTGACTCAGCTCGAGCCAGTGTGACTACTGGGGGAGTCAAACAGCAAAACTGCCTTTCCAGTAAAAACAAATAAACAAAAGGTTGCAATCAAAGAAAGGCAACCCCATCAAATCTCACAGTTGTAAACCGAGGGCTGTAATTGTCATTCGGCCTAAGAGCCAGGATGCCGCATGGAATGCCTCGCTCTGTATCAGAGCGCCCAGAATCTCACGCCCAGCTCTGCTACTGTGGGCCCTGGGAGAGAGCAGGCCACTGCTGCTGCTCACACGGCAGACTTGGATTTAGGCTCCTGGCTCCTATTCTTCTGAAGATTTGGGGCTCTCTTTCTCTGCTTCTCAAAATTAAGAAACTAGACGGGTAGTAAGTAACCCAAGTACTAGCCTGCTGCCGGTCCTGAATGAAGGGTCACATCTCTCCAACACTGATCTGCACCATTTAACTAAAAAAGCAAGAAGCAGACAAATGTAAGAGGACTGCTTTCACATCTGCTCAGCCAGGGACACCAACACCCCACATCAGAACGGGGCTTCAGGTCAGGGATGCTCAACTTCTGACCCTGCCTACTGCCTGTTCCCCCTCCCACGGGCAAGACAAATCATCAACAAGGTGCACAGGGCCAGGGTGTTGCAAGCAACAGACAAGTAACCGACGGACACACAGATGCACAGGACGCTTGTCACTGCGGGCACTCTTCCCATGAGGTTCTCTGACAGACTGGAACATGCGTCCCCCAAAGGCGCTGAGAGAACAATCCCTGGGACAAAGCAACATGTCTGCCCCTCTCCGCTCACATGCCAACATCAACAGTAAGCGTCGCCCCCTCCGCAGATGCCAAACATGAACGGGACAATACAGAATCGTGGAAAAGCTTGTGCCAGTAAAATAATATCTGAGATGGACAAATTTGCTGACCAACAAAAATTAAAAACTACAGTGCCTGAAAAGCAAATGACAGAAACCAATTGTATCATTCATTAAAACCTCCTCAAAAAGACAACTTCTGGCCTAGACCGCTCAACAGATGAATGCCGACATATTAAACCAGGCACGAGGCTAATCCCACAAATGTCCTCAGAGAACATGAAATGAGTTTGGAAGTGATTAAGCAGAGATAAAATCATATAACACAATAGCAAGCAAATGGCTAATCCTGAATCCAGTTTGGAGAATCATTACGTTTTAATCTATGGAGCAAAAAGTCTAGCAGATGTTCAACATTATCTATCTGAGGTATATCTAAGAATGATCTAATAAGTACCTGAGGATATAGAGTAGAAAGCTCAGGTCTGAAAGTCACCTTCAGAGTTACAGCAAAAATTATCAGATTGGAGACTGATGTTGTAGTGCAGTGGGTTAAGCCGCCGCCTGCAACGCTGATATCCCATTTGGGTGCCGGTTCAAGTCCCGGCTGTTCCACTTCCAATCCAGCTCCCTGTTACTAGTGCACCTGGAAAAGCAGTGGAAGATGGTCCAAGTGCTTGTCTCCTCACCACCCACATGGGAAACCCAGATGAGTTCCAGGATGCTGGTTTCAGCCTGGCCCAACCCCACCTACTGCAGCTATTTCAGAAATGAGCCAGTAGATGGCAGTCTCTTCCACTCCATGACTCTGCCTTTCAAATAAATAATGCTTTAAGAAAACTGATCAGACTAAACAGCAAAAGCAAAAAGCCTTCCTGGCTAGTCACATGCCCTACTCTAAGTTGTCTTAATTGAGGTCAGACCTAGAGAAGCCAGAAACAGGCCAACAAGTAGAAAACAGAAAAACAGCATAGGGTGGAGGGCTGTACTGGCTCTCAATTTCTATGGAAATGACCATTGAAGAATCCAGAGTGACTGATTCGTGACAGCCAAGGCACAGTTCTACTGAAGGCTTTGATGTAAGAACAATGCAATGGGGGAAGGGAGAAGAAAAAAAAAAAAAAAAAAAAAAAAAAAGAAAGCTCTAACTCAAAATATGTCCCAAGGCATAGCCAGGGATTTGGATGTCAAATCCAATACAGCAGAAAAATCTCAGAGATCACTTAATTAACATTATTCTTGGATTGCTTATACTGTCCTTATGTTCCCAGCTGACCATGCCTTATTGTCACATTACTTACCGATGTCAGAAGTACAAGGGGCAGCAGCAGCCGTGGGCCTGACTGTGAGCCCCCAGCTGGGACACCCATGTCTTAGCCTGGGCATGGATAATGTGCATCCATGGAGGGTGACAACTCTGCCTCGAGAGTGGGCTCCCGGCATCATAGGGAAGAATCACAAGGGAGCTCCACCTCTAGGCTCCGACCCTCCCCTCCGCAAGTGTTAATGCCATGTGGGAAGTGAAAAAGCAGGTGGGAAACTGTCTATTCATTTCTCTTGTGGCCTCTCAAATGGATAAAAATGACAAAAAAGGCCAAGCACACCTAGTGGCTAAAGTCCTCGCCTTGCATGCGCCAGTATCCCATACTAACCCCTGTTCTAATCCCGGCAGCTCTGCTACCCATCTACCTTCCTGCCTGTAGCCTGGGAATGCAGCCCAGGGCGGTCCAAAGCCTTGGGACCCTACACCTGCTGGGGAGACCGTGAAGAAGCTCTGGGTTCCTGGCTTCGGATCGGCTCAGATCTGGCCACTGCGGCTGCTTGGGCTGTGAATCACTGGACGGAAGATCTTCCTCTCTGTCTCTCCTCCTATCTGTATTATCTGCCTTTCCAATAAAAATCAAAAAATAAAAAGTTACACAAATCTGCTTATTTGTGAGGCTCTCCAAAAAACCTTTTTGTTAAAGGGGAAGTACATACAAAGGAACAACTGGGGCCAGTGCAGGGCTCCGCAGTCTAATCTTTTTTTTTTTAAAGATTTATTTTATTATTTTTTTTATTGGAAAGACAGATATACAGAGAGGAGAGACAGAGAGGAAGATCTTCCGTCCGATGATTCACTCCCCAAGTGAGCGCAACAGCCGATGCTATGCCGATCCGAAGCCAGGAGCCTCTTCCGGGTCTCCCACGCGGATGCAGGGTCCCAAAGCTTTGGGCCGTCCTCGACTGCTTTCCCGGGCCACAGGCAGGGAGCTGGATGGGAAGCGGGGCTGCCGGGATAGAACCGGCGCCCATATGGGATCCCGGGCGTGCAAGGTGAGGACCTTAACCACTTGCGCCACCACACCGGGCCCTCCTCAGTCTAATCTTGTACCAACAGTGCTGGCAGCCTACACAGGCACTGGTTCCGGTCCCGGCACTCCACTTCTAGCACCCTAATTACGGCCTGGGAAACCAGTTGAGGATGGCTCAAAGCCTTGGGATCCATGCAGATGGCATGGGAGAAGTGAAGAAGCTTCTGGCCTCTGACCAGCTCAGCTCTGGCATTTAAAGCCATTGGGGAGCAGATGAAACATGTGTCTCTAAATTTCTCTGTAAACCTGTGGAGATTTGTGAAAAAACAAATCTTGTAAAAATTCAATTAAAGGGCTGATGTGGCCTTGTGGGTAAACCTGCAGCCTGAGCAGATTCACATCTCAACTGCTCAATTTCCAACCTAGCTCCCTGGTAATGGCACGAGAAAGCAATGAAAGGCAGCCCACGTGCTGGGGCCCTGCTCGAATGCTAGGGAGCTACAAGAATCTGGCTTTGGTCTAGTTCAACTCTTGATGTTGCAGCAACCTGGGAAATCAACCAGCATATGGAATGTATCTCTCTCTGAGGTGCTTTCAAGTATGCAAATGAAGATCCTCCATCTGCCAGTTAACTCTCCAAGTAGCCCCAACAGCAGGAGCTGAGCCAATCCAAAGTCAGGAACCATGAGCTTCCTCTGGGTCTCCCACATGGGTACAAGGTCCAAAACCCTTGGGCCATCCTCTGTTGCGTTCCCAGGCCACAAGCAGGGAGCAGCTGGGACATGAACAGGGACCCACATCAAATCCCAGCATATAAAAGGCAAGGATTAGCCACTTTCAAACTGGGCCCCATGTGTGAATCTTTAAAAAAATAGAAATAAAATAAACAAAATTTTAATTAGAAACCCTAAACAGCTAAAGGTGATGAAATGAAATTCTAAGATATCACATCATATTTACAAAATATTATAAGTAAACAAATACAGAATTCCAGGTCCTGTGTAGTCACCTAATGGTTAAAGTCCTCAGCTTGCATGCGCCAGCATCCCATATGGGTGCGGGTTCTAATTCCAGTTGCCCATCGCCTTAGGATCCTGCACACATACGGAAGACCTGAAAGAAACTCCTGGCTCCTGAGATCAGCTCAGCTCTGGCCATTGTAGCCACTTGTGGAGTGAACCAGTTGATGAAGATCTTCCTCTCCGGCTCTCCTCCTCTCTGTAAATCTGCCTTTCCAATAAAAATAAAGAAATCTTGGGCCCGACGCCGTGGCCTAGCAGCTAAAGTCCTCGCCTTGCACATGCTGGGATCCCATATGGGCGCCGGTTCTAATCCTGGCAGCTCCACTTCCCATCCAGCTCCCTGTTTGTGGCCCTGGGAAAGCAGTACAGGACGACCCAAAGCTTTTGGACCCTGTACCCGCATGGGAGACCAGCAAGAGGTTCCTGGTTCCCGGCTTCAGATCGGCACAGCACCACCGGCCGTTGCGGTCACCTGGGGAGCGAATCATCGGATGGAAGATCTTCCTCTCTGTCTCTCCTCTCTGTATATCTGACCTTGTAATAAAAAAATAGATAAATCTTAAAAAAAAATCTTAACTAAAAGAGAAATACACAGAATTTCAAAAACATTGTTGCCAATATACAGAAATGAAAAATGTCAAATAGCTAAGTGCAAAGAAATGTAGGCTAAATATTTATACTCCATCAGGGTTTTTTTCATCTATTTTTGATTCTTATTTTTGTAACCACCTATTTTACGCTTCAACTGTTTTGTTGTTGCTGTTGCGTTTCAAATTAAGTTCACAAAAACTAATAATCTTAGTAGTAGAACAGTACTTGCTTCATTGGTTTAATTTTATGATAAAACTTACTCACAAAGCCACAGATGTAAATGTGTCACTGAGTGAGTTTTAATAGACACATGCTCACAGTCTAGATTCCTACCACGACAGAGAGCACCATCACCAGAGGGAAATCCCTGGATGTGAATAGTCTAATACATAAGCAAGGCAGACACCTGATTCACAAGGCACCTGTTGTATTTTAACTGCATGCAAGGCTAAAGTAAGACATTACTAGTATGATCCTGATTACAAAGTAAACAAGAAACAAAAACATTAGAATTAACCTCCCTGCTACACTTATTCCTTAAGTCTCCTGCGCTAACATTCAAGACACATGTACGCCTCAACTCTGGAGGACACTAAAAGTCAGGCGTACAGCCAGCAAGCCTGTGTGGCTACAGGCCTGTAGAAGGCCAGAACGCAGAAACTGACACGGATCTGCTTCCTTGGCTTATCTTCCAGTGTGGCTTACATAGGCTGGGTAGAGTGCCTCAAATCTTCACACCATCTAGTTAACAGTGATGGGGCAAAGGAGCCACATTCAGAGATGTGCTGGGGATAAAGCAGACCGGAGCATGCAGTGCCACAGTGCGGCCACAAGACACTACCTGTGGAGCCCCTGATTTCCAAAAGGGTCTGTGCTGGAAAGTCCTGCCTTAACCAGACTCGGTGAGGCAAACATCCTAAAAAATAAAAATACCTAATTTCCTCGAGAGGAAAAAAAAAAAAAAAAACCCTCATACTGAAAAGCAGAATTGACCAAACTATGCATAAACTTCCTACTACCTTAGAGAAGAAACTCAGAGAACAACTTACCGCGACTGTTCCAGCAGGGGCTAAATCCGACGGACTCACAGAGCTTTGGTATGCGATCCTGTTACGCACAGAACTCTGGTCATAGGAGGAAGACGTTGTTACTGGACTAGTGGAGCTCAGGGATGAGCTGGTCAGGCTGGAGGAGGTAATGACTGAAGTTGTATAGGTGGAGTTCTGTACTGCACTGGTCATTGGTAAAGAGGTATTCAAAGGATCACTAAGAGTAAAAGGTATCAGACACAAATATACGTCACTTCACACGGTTTCATGAAATAGAGCTACATTAATTTACCCTCCCATTCTAAATTTAAAAAGGAACTATAAATGTATGTTACATCCTTTTGAAATCATTTCAGCCTATATTTGAGAGGCAGAAAGAGATTTCTCCATCGGCGAGTCCATGCCACACAAGGCCAGTGATAGTTGTGGCAGCAACAAGGTTGAGCCATGGCCAAAGTCAGGGACCAGGAACTCAATCCAGATCTGCGAGATGGGAGGCAGGAGATGAACTACTCGAACCACCACTCTTGCCCCAAGGAATTTATAATGGAAAAAGATGGTATAAGGAGCCAGAATCTGAAATTAACCCAACGAGGGACACAATCACCAGCTTACTAACTGCTTGTCTCATCACTTGACTTGTGATGTTCCTGAATCGTGTTAAAGGACAGCTTCCTTAGTATCTCCCACAGGAGATCGATGTGATGTAACTGATACATTAGGATTTCTTTAAGAATTCTTAAGAATCTCATCAGGAATTCATCAGCCTTTTAAAACTGGGATTCCCTAATTAAAAAAATATTCCACTGAGGGAAACTTGGTGTTGCAAAGATGTGTAGACATCAGATCCTTGAACTATCACTGGTAAATGCTGAAGCCACTGTGAAAGAAACTTGGTACTTCTGCAATGATTACATATAAGAGTTATTTATAACATGACCCAGTAATTGTACTCTGTAGGAATACCCAAAAGACCTGGAATCACACACAACTTGTTACCAAATACCAAAAGATGTTCAAAGAATACATCAAATGTCTACCAACTTCTCAAAGATTAAACAAAATGTTGTGCTATTCAAGGACATACAACACATGCACCTAGAAAACTTGCGCTAAGGGAAGTCAGACACTAAATGTCTAGTATTACATGACTCAGAGTTCAGGACTTGAGAATCCTGGCAGGTTGATTAATGGTCACCAAAAAACTGCAGTCAGGTATGAGATGACTTTGAGGGTGATGGAAACAATTTTGGAATTAAACAGGATGTATCCTCAATTCCAATTTTTCTAAGAGAACTGAAAGCTATATACCTTAAAGATTTTGAATATAAGCTGATGGGAATCTGATTACTATCTTCACTACATGGAGCTGATCCAAATTCAGAGAGAGAGGGTTCTGATCCAAACTCCAATGCCCCAAACTGGACATTTAATCCTGTGACATCTGCTGAGCCAGGCATTTCCACCGCAGAAGCAGGAATCTAAAAAAACAAAACTGACACGTCAGGAACAAGGATCAGAAATTCTAAGATACAAAGATCTATAATAAAACCAAACCCACAGCTGGGTTATCTAAGCCATATTACAAAAAAGGGGGAAGTGGGAGATGAATCATAGAACAAAGAAAATTAAAGCTAATGAGAGGAAGGTCAGTATTAATATCACCAACTGCAACCTGGTTCCTTGCTAATGGGGCTGGGAGTGGTTAGGGGTGGGTGAGCAAGGACATTGGATATCCGGTTCACTTCGCAATTCCTAAGATATGCCACTTGGGAAAGCATTATCTCGTCAAGGCGTCATGTAACCTTTAGATACAGCACGTCGCAAAATACACAAAAGCAGATATGTATCAAGTAACTGGTTAATCTTAAATCCATTACTGAACTAACAGTGTCTGGTTCGTGGTACAAACCCTTTTACTCCAGTGTCAACCCAGCAACTCAGAAATAGGCAATTCCTCAAACAGCAGTCAAGCAGGACTTGGAAAACAATACATTGTATTATACTGTCTGAGACTTGATATTCCAACACACAACAAGATGGCACAATACACCCGCCTTTGTAGCTGTACCTGCATCAGGATGGCCCACCTTAGAAGCTGGAGGTATCCGCCGCTTGGGCAGTTTCATGTGTTTGGGCTGTGGCTGGTGGGCAGACACAGCGATGTTTTCCACAGTCACACTGGGAAGGTGCAACAGTTTGTTCACAGTGGAGGCGCTGTCTCCAGGCACAGGTTCTTGGAGTTTTGCCTGAGAAGGAAAGGACTCCAAACCAGGGGGAGGAGTGGGGATGGCCTGGGTCTGGTGCTGTTGCCGCTGGCTCAACTGGCTAAGGACTGGGGATGGCTCAGGCTGAGATTTGAAGTCTATGTAATAAAGAAAATAAAAGTGATAATTAATTCTTTTGCACAAGACTTTGAAACTCTACACTTGATCAGTGTTCACATAAGTGACAGGGACCCAACTACTTGAGCCACCACCAATACCATTTGGGGACTCTGTTAAGAGGAAGCTCAGTTTGGAACCATAGCAGAAACTGAACACACATGCATGCTCCAGTGTGGGACGCAAACACCCTAACCAACATCACACCTGCTAGGCCAGCAATTTTTTTATTTTCAGGTTTGATTGGTGGAAAACAGCATTGAAAAAGTGCAAAATACAATGATATAAATGCACACAAGCATTCTTTTCTTTTAGAAGTCTTCCATATATCTTTGGCCATACTTTTTTTTTTTAAGGCATAAAGGCGGTTTATTCAAGTTAACTTAGGTCTCCAGCAGCTGGGCTGGGAGGGGGTGGGGCAGCTGCAGCCAAGGCTGCAGCAACAATGTCATACTTTTTTTTTATTATTATTATTATTTTAAAGATTTATTCATTTTTATTGAAAAGGCATATTTACAGAGAGAAGGAGAGACAAAGATCCTCCATCCGCTGCATCACTACCCAAATGGTCACAACACCCGGAGCTGAGCCAATCCAAAACCAGGAAGTTTCTTACAGTTTTCCCATGCAGCTATAGGATCCCAAAGTTTTGGGCCATCTCCTGCTGTCTCAGGCCATAAGCAGGGAGCTGGAAGGGAAGTAGAGTAGCTGCGACATAAACTGGCACCCTTAAGGGATCCTGGCACTTGTAAGGCTGAGAATTAGCCAACTGAGCCACTGTGCCATGCGATGGCCATCATTTTTTTCCACCTGTTTGCTACTTTCTTCTATTAGTACCACCTTTTATATTAGCAAGTTAACTTTTGCATATGATTATGATTTTCAAATCATTCTCACAAGCTGTCTTCTCCGTATTTTGATTTGGTTATGGTGTTTCCTTTCAATACTAAGACTACTCTCAGAGAATATCTATAGGCATGTTTATAGGGTTTCCCCCCCACAATCTTTCTTGAGTCCCTATTTTTGTTTAAATAATTGACACATTTGGCACCTTGCTACAGAAATACAACTTCATTTTCTAACCAGACATTTGATTTTGTTTTTATTTTTAAAAAAAATTCATTTCTTTTTATTGGAAAGACAGAATTACAGAAATACCTTCCATTCATTGGTTCATTCCCTATACAGCTGCAAAGAATAGAGCTCAGCAGATACCAAGTAGGGAGCTTCTTCCAGTTCAACCATACGTGTGCAGAGGCCAGAAGCCTTGCAATGGCACAGATCAGCACTTGTATGGGATGCCAGCATTTGCCAGTCAAGCCAGTATGCCAGCAAAAACATTTAATCCTAATATCCTTTCTTGGGCCTGGTGCAATAGACTAGTGCTAACTCCTGCTTTGTATGTGCCAGCATCCTGTATGGCTGCCAGCTGGTCTCCCAGCTAGTCCAGTTACCATCCAGCTCCCTGCTTGTGCCTTGGGAAAGCAGAAGAGGATGGCCCAGAGTCAGGGGATCCTGTACATGTGTGTTTGAGTCCAAGAAGCTGCTTCCGGCTCTGCATCAGCTTAAGCTCCAGCTGTTGTGGCCACATGGGGAATGAACCAGCAGATGGAAGATCTTTCTGTCTCTGTATCTATGTCTTTTAAAAAAAAAAAAGGAGGAGGAAAGAAATTTCAACTGCAACTACTTAGGCTGGATTGCAGTAAAACTCAATTTACAAATAAGGAAGGGCAGGCACAGATTAAATATTAGAGACACGCATCAAAGGAGATCTACTATAAAGGATAAAGGGAGTGTTCTTATCCTAAAACTCATTGTTGTGTGTACAGAAAAAAGTCAAGTCAGGGGAGACCACTGATAACAATGGCTTGCTGCAGAAGTGGCTGGGAACATGGGACTGCTGCCACGTACTCTGCAAAGGCTGCAAACACACCAAGCGGAACGCCTGTACCACGTGATTTATCCTCGACATCTGCTTTCCTTTACAGAACCTGCAGATTTGTTAGGCGTGAGAGAGGATATTTACATAAAAGCACTGTGCCTGCCACTTTAACACGACTCCCTGGTAGTTACCACTTCAATCCTGGGAGAAGCCTTGGATAGCTCCAACACCATAAGCCATTGCTACCTTTCACAGGCCCTAAAAGCAAGCCAGTGAAATGTTCCCTAATGCAATGTAGCAGGTGAGCACCAGTAGTAAAGGGTGACTCAATGTCACTAACTTCTGTGGGTGTTCTTTAGGACATACTCAGCTCACACATGCTGTGTTTACATGCAAGCGTCAGAAGTGTGGTATAGTGTGACCAAGTGTGGTAGACACATGTGTTAGAATAAGGAAGCATCACATACATGGGAGACCTGGAAGAAGCTCCTGACTCCTGGCTTTGGATCGACTCAGCTCCAGCCGCTGTGGCCACTTTCTCTCCTTTTCTCTCTCTGTACATCTGCCTTTCCAATAAAAATAAATTTTTTAAAGGCAGGATTTGAAATGCTATGCATGTTCAAATCTGTCATCTTAACAGAACTCAGAAAATTCTGTATATTACCTTAAAGTGCTGCATCCTTATATTTGCACATTTGAAACATGCTTTGCCATAGCTGTTCAAGGAATGAACTATACTATGATGATGACATGACAACAAACATCTTTGTGCAGGGGCCATTCTAATCTTCTTGGTATCGGTCCAATTTACGTACATGTGCCACTGAGGCAAGCACGAATAAGAATGAAAAAAAAAAAGCAATTATTACACATGAGTGTATTTAAGGTAATGAAAAACTGAATTAAAAACACCTTATTCTGATGAACTGTTGAGGTATCAGGGGAGTTGATGGAAGACGTGCCAATCTGCCTTTCAATTAAATAAACAAATCTTTTTTCTGAAGATTTTATTTATTGTTATTTGAAAGGCAGATTTGCAGAGAAGGTAAGAGAAAGATTTTCGATACAATGGCTAACTCTAAAAAGGGTGAAACAGCTGGAGCTGAGTCAATCTGAACCTAGGAGCCAGGAGCTTCTTTCGAGTCTCTCACGCAGGTGTAAGGTTGCAAGGCTTTAGTCATCTTCCATGGCTTTTGCAGGTCAAAAGCAGGGAGCTGAAAGGGAAGTGGAGCAGCAAAGAAATAACTGGTGCCCGAATGGGATCCCAGCCCTTACAAGTGGAGAATTAGACAACTGAGCAAGTATACTGCGCCGTAAAAAATCTTTTTTATTAGAAAAAAATTAAATATGCATATGTAAAAATATATTATATATAAATATAAATAGATTTAATGTGTATATATTGGGTGCAGGACAGCAGTACAGTGGCTTTGCAAGCTAATCCTCGACCTGGTAGTACCAGCATTCCATGTGGGTGCCAGTTTGTGTACCAGTTGGTCTACTTCCCATCCACCTCCCAGCTTATGGCCTGGGAAAGCAGTGGAGGATGGTCCAAATCCTTGGCACCCTGCAGCCATGTGCAGATGAGGAAGAAGCTCCTGGCATCAAATCACTCATCTCAAGCTCTATAGCCCGTTGGGGAGTAAATCAACAGATGGAACACCCTTCTCTCTGGTTCTACTTCTCTCTGTAAGATGTGCCTTTCAAAAAAAAATATGTGCCTATCAAATTAAACACTTCCTAGAAAAAGCATTTTAATAAAAACATATGCTCATTTTAAATAACAGTTCTATGAACTGTCTGAAGTACTTTTTACAAAGAATGTTATTATGTAAAAACTATTTTAAAGTATAAAAATGAAACAAGTCTGAACAGATTCTACATTAGAAAATAGAGCTTCACACACTGTGATGGTTAGCATGGCCACAGTGGGAGCAACCAGCAAGAAGAGTGTATACTTACCAAAATGACTAAGGACAGAGGACTGGGGTGCTGAAGGCTTGAGGTCCCAGGAAGTAGTAGTCGTGGGGGGGCTCGTACTATTCTGTTGTGAACTTGGGTTGGTGGTAAACTGGCCCAAACTTGGAACTTTCAACTGGTCCAAAATCTGGGAGCTACTGACGTTTGCCATTTTGGATGGTGCAAGCTCTCCAAATCCTGAGCCAAGAACGGATGACTTGAAGAAGAAATTAAAAAAACAAACAAACAAAAAAAAAAAAATCTCAGCAACATAAAATTTATGCCCTAGTCTTTAATATTAACAATTAATTTACTTACTTGAAAGGCACAATTACAGAGTGAGAGGGTGGAGCAATCTCCCATTTGCTGATTTATTCCCCAAACAGCCATACAAGCAAGGACTGGGTCCAGCCAAAGCCCGTTGCCTGGAGCTCCATGTGGGTCTCCTCTGATGGAGGCAAGAGCCCCAATTGGAGACATCTTTCTCTGCCTTCCAGTGTGTGTTTGCAGCGAATTAGACAGGAAGCGGAGCAGCAAGAACTTGAACTGGCACACAGCATGATTGCCAGCAGCTTAAGCCCCTGCAAGACACTGGCCTCTTGCTCTAATCTTTAAAATAACCAAGTATAATGTATTTTAGAAACTCTAATCTTAAGCAGCTGAATCAGTAACTCTCATTAGAAAATATTCCATAAAAACATTATGCAGTAAGACTAAACAAATCCAGCAATTTCTCTTGATTCTGATGAAAGTCAAATCAAACAGCAGTATTTGCCACATATCTAAAGAAATTAAGTAATGGCAAAAGGTCATAGTAAAGGTCATATTTATCTAAAAATGAACACATGCAAATGATTTGACAAAAAAAAAAGCAAATTTCTTAATTAGCAAACAATACCAGTCATCTTCAATGATTAAAATAGGTTTGGTAGAGCCCAGCGCAATAGCCTAGTAGCTAAATTCTTGCCTTGCAAGCGCCAGGATCCCATGTGAGTGCCAGTTCATTTTCCAGTTGGACCACTTCCCATCCAGCTCCCTGCTTGTGCCTGGGAGAACAGTGGAGAATGGCCCAAAGCCTTGAGAACATGCACCAACGTGCTGGAGATCTGGAAGAAACTCCTGGCTCCTGGATCAGCTCAACTTCATTCGTTGCGGCCACTTGAGGAGTGAACCAGCAGATGGAACATATCTCTCTCTCTCTCCTTGTCTCCGTAAATCTGCCTTTCCAATAAAAATAAATACATCTTTAAAAAATGAAGAAAAAAATATATATGTGTTCACAGAGGAGATCAGCCATGACATTATCGTATAGGATAAAACAGTTCATTGTATTTAAAAAGCTAATACTCTAAAATCAAGACACTAAAGTCGTTACTTTTTAGACTGAAGACTGGGGGGTCAATACCTGTAACTCAGAAAGGCTGAGAACACCAACTCTGCTCATAGGTGATCACAACACTACTCCCCCCTCATCTGCTCCACGGTTTCCAAGAGCCAAGGGGAATGACAGTCTATGAGGAGAAAAGGCTGGGGAAGGTTCAAGCGGTGTTACATATGAAGATCACCGTGTACACAAAACAGGAGTCGGCTTCCTCCTGGGAACCAGCAGAGTCTCTCGGATGCCACTTGAGAAGACAGAAAAAGGGCAGCAACTTCTCAGAGAGGCAACTACTACTGGCACCAACTATACCTTTTAGGGCTCCTGAAATGGGTCCACTCGATGAGGAGCGGCAAGTAGCTATAGGAGATCAAACTACATCTTTTGGCAGAAGTGTCAGAAGGGAATGAAATGGATCAGACGGGTAGCAAGCTTGGGTCATGAACTGGACCATTCCTACCCCCTCCCCGAGTGATACAGTCTGCACACCTGTCCATCCACGGACCCCAACCCAGGTCGTACTCTCCTTCAGGGGGAAGTGAAAGCTGATGTCACGTGGTCCCTCCCCTTCTCAGAAGTAGAAACCTCCCTCTCCCTCCCTTCCTCCTCTGCCTACTGTTTCTGTGAGTTCCTCACCTTTGAAATAAGCTTCGTAAAATAATTTTTTTAAACACCATGAAAAAATTTTTTGCCAAACACATTTATTCAAAACCAAAATCAAAACTACTTTGCACTCTCAAAAAGGTTAGCTCAAGAAAGTTTACATATTAATCTGTGAAATTTCCTTTATTAATGTACCAAAGCAAAGGTTGGTACTGTAGCAAAGTGGATTAGGGGCCTCCAGCAAGGACAGCAGCCCATACTGGAATACTAATTCAAGTTCTGGCTGCTTGACGTTAGAGTCAATGTGCTGAAAAGGCATCTGAAAAGGCAGCAGACGGCCCACGAGTCTGGTCTGCACCAGGACAAGCATCTGTGCTCCAAGCTTCTACCTGGTCCAGACCTGGCTGTTGTGGCCATCTGGGGAATGAAGCAGGAAATGCAAAATTTCTTTCAAATAAAACTGCTCAAATGATGGCTTTTCAGATATTTCACTATCTCTATTTCCTCATGCATCAGTTAGTCTTGGCAATCACACTATCTGTATATTTACAATATCATGAAATCCCTGATTCAATGACTACAGCCTTGCCCTAAATATAAATATCACTTAGCTGAGGGACTCTCATTTTCATCTGCAAATTCAAACAAATGGAGCATGAAGCCAGCACTGTGGAATAGCTACTTAGGCCTCCATATGCTGTAACAGTATCCCACGAGAGCCGGTTCAAGTCCCAGCTGCTCTACTTCTGATCCCATACCCTGTTACAGAGCCTGGGAAACCAGCGGAAGATGGGCCAGGCTTTAAGGCCCTGTACCCATGTGAGAGAACCATGGGAAACTTTAGCTTTTGGATGACCCCAGTTTCAGCTTTTATGGCCACTTAGGGAGTAAACCAACTGATGTAAGATCTCTCACGGGTCCAGCACGGTAGCCTAGCAGCTAAAGTCCGCGCTGTGAACATGCCCAACAGCATATGGGCATTGGTTCTAATCCCCATGTCCCTGTTTCCCATTCAGCTCAATGTTTGTAGCCTGGAAAAGCTGTTGAGGATGGCCCAAAGCCTTGGGACTCCGCACCTGTGTAGGAGAACTGAAAGAGACACCGTGCTCCTGGCTTTGGATCAGCACAGCTCCGTACACTGCAGCCATTTGGGGAGTCAATCAACAAACGGAAGATATTCCTCTCTGTATATCTCTTTGCAATAAAAATAAATCTTAAAAAAAAAATCTTTCTCTCTACAATCTTGCCTTTTAAATAAATGAATCTTTTAAAAATAATAGATCAAAAAACATATTAAGATGCTCATTGACAAACATATGCAACAAACACAGGGACCCAAATAGAAACAGAGTAAAACAGAGTTGCCCATTATCTCTCCAGTACGATACTGAGACCAGAGGTTGGTCATACTAACCAACATATAGTTAGGTCACTAAAAATTCAAGCTCCGCAAGAGATTTACATCAACACACTGGGACACCAGCATCCATTCCAGGGAACTTCGTTGGAGGATCTCAGCTTCTGGTCCACCACAATAATTAATAATGACTACCTTTGGTAAATGGGGTGAGCTCTTTGTAATTGGCCAGCAGTTGAGATGAGGACTGGGATGCCAGTACCTAGATTACAGTGCCTGCACTAAAGTCCCAATTCTACTCCTCATTCCAGCTTCTTGATAACATACACCCTGGAGGTACCAGCACTTGATTCCGTCACCTGCATGGCAGGTCCGAACTAAGCCCTGACCCAGCCCAGTAGACATGGCCATCTGGAGTACTCGTGACAAACGCCTCCATTCCCCCACCCCTCACAGAGAGGTAATGATTTCTGATTTCCCTCTAACTCTCCTTTGTAGGACCTCTCACTGCCCCTCAATGAAAGTGTGAACTATGAACTCACTGCCAAGCTAAGATTCTAGCACATTGCCAAGGAGTTCACAGCTTTACACCATTAGGAGACAAAAAGAAGAGAATATGGGAGTTCAGTCAAAATACAAAGGTTTTAATTAGGCCTTTCAAACCAAAGATGAAACCATGTCCATTTCAAGCACTGAAACTAACTCAAACAGTGACACTAAATAACCTAACTTCCCAAGCCTGAACGTGACATGACTACATGGAGAAGATAACAATGAAATGACAGATTTTTATTTCATTTGTACTAATTTAAAAGACAAAGAGAAGGAGAGAAAGAGACCAACGCAGAGAGAACTTTCACATCACTGGTGTCATCCCCAAAATGCCCAAACATCAGGGGTTACACCAGACAAAACCAGGAGTCTGAATTCAATCTGGATCTCCCATATATTTGGCAAGAACCAAACCACCAGTATTCACAAGAGCAGGAAGCAGGAATCAGAAGCTGATCCAAGACTTGAATCCCAGCACTCAGATGGGATACAGGCATCCCATGGAGCAGCTTTCTCATTATCATTTTTACACACTTACTTATTTCAAACGCAAAGCTGAAAGGAACAGATAGGAAAGTACTGTCCACCCACTGCTTCACTACTCCCCAGATGGCCACAGTGTCCAAGGCTGGGTCTCTATCCAGGTCTTCGATGGTGCATCAGTAAGTAGGTGGACAGAAGTGAAGCAGCTGGCATTGAATCGGCATCCACACAAAATGGCAAACTAACCCAGGATGACACAACAGCAGTCACCCCAAGGAGCATCTTAACATCCATATCCAACACCCACCCCAAAGCTTGCAAGTTGAGTCTTCTAAGGATAGAACAAATGATTTGATCTGACAGGGAAGAAAACTCCATCTCTCAACAACACATTTCAGCGTTTAGCTGAATAATCAAAATAACCATCATAAGTGATGGTCTATTCAATGTCCTATCAAACTCCCCTCTGACAGCAAAATTTAGGAAAACTGAGCAGGGATTTCACTTCCTAATATTCTAGAATAAGCTAAGCTCTGAAAGTTCTTTCTGATAGCAGCCTGACATTCCTCAGAAGTCAGAGGCAAACATGCAGCACTAAATGACACCATCTCAATGAAACAATGATCGTCTCTATGACATCATCTGGGATTTAAATGGGAAAAATGCCCAATTTTATAGAATAACAAAGCATGTAAAGCACAAAATCAGATTTTGAAAGATTTGTTTTTGCATGATTTTGTAGCAAGCTGACTTACTTGCATGTGCATAAGTAGAAAATAAAATTTTAATATATTAAAGAAAAACTTGAGAAAAAATCGCAGAAAAAAATTGTGAGCAAAGAGACATGTTCAATGTAAAGGACCCATTAACTGAAAAGAATTCAATGTATCAAAAGGAAGCACTGTCCAGAAAACTCAGTAGCTGCTTTCCACACGCAATCATCAGATATGTGCTTGGGATTTATCACATCACTGTCTTCTGGACGGAGATCCTGTTGCCAGTAAGTACATTCCTTGAAAGCCTGACTGAAATGGCAGTGACTTACCAGACTCTGAGGAGAGTAGGAGTTGGCAGCCAAGGGGCTGCCAGTCCCTGATGCCATCTGAGTGTTGTGTTGAGAATTGGTGAAGACGAGGGCTTGGCTAAAGCCCGGCTGCTGTGAAGCTTCAAAGGAGCTGGCTTCTGAAGCTTGGCTGGGAGGAACAGACTTCTGCAGCAAGGCCACCAGATCAATACTGGGCAGACAAAAAGCAAACAAGAAAAACAATTTGCAAGCAAACCCTACAAAGAAATGAATCTGAAAAGTGAACCAAAAATAAATTTATACTAAAAATTTATCTACAAGAAAATAATCTTTGGAAATGGCTCTCAAGGGTGGTAAAAAGGACTGCATCGGGGAGTTACACACACACACACACACACACACACACACACACACACACACACACACACAGAGCGCCACAAAAATCAAAGAAAGCTCTGGCAAGAAGGAAAACAAAAACAAAAATTGAAAAAATTTCATAGAACAATGCTCACAAATAATTTCAAAAAAAGGGGGGGGGGGGGGGGAAAGACACACACACACACAGAGACAAATTCAGGACCCAGCCTAGCCTATGATCCCAGATGGGCTTGGGTTCGTAACATGATGGCCGTGCTTCCCATCCAGCTCCCTGCTTGTGGCCTGGGAAAGCAGACAAGGACAGCCCAAAGCCTTGGGACCCTGCACCTGAGAGGAGAACTTCCTGGCTCCTCGCTTCAGATTGGCGCAGCTCTGGCCAATGTGGTTGCTTGGGGAGTCAATCAATGGACAGAAGATCTTCCTTTTTCTTTTTTTAGAGATATATATATTTTTTATTTTGAATTTTTGAATTATGTGTTACAATTTCGTATAGACTGGGATTTCCGCCCTCCACCAACAGATTTTCCCCATTTTATTACAGTGGTATAATCCTGTTGTTCTAACTCATACCAGTGGTTGACCTTGTTTCATGGCTTCTCAATTATGGAAATGTATAATGATGGAGTACTGGGGTCTACCATATCCAGATGTGGGGGTATAATGGAACATGCATCCCTGCTTCCAGACGAAAGATGGATTCCCAATGAAACTGTTGGACAAGTGTAGACAATGGGATGCTGGACTGTCTGACATTGTCTGTAGCAGCAATGTCGGGGTACACTTAAATACGAGACAGATGTTCCTTTCTGTCTCTCCTTTTTGTATATCTGACTTTCTAATAAAAATAAAATAAATCTTAGGAAAAAAAAAAGACTGCTTCATGTCAGTGTGAAATATAATGTATTACAATATTCTTCAGGGAAAATGGGTTTAAGTCAAAAGGGAACTACTAAACAGAAACCTTTTAAATGTTTATGCCTTTCATTTTCATGAATGCATTTTGTAAATATAACCTCTGCCAATTTAATTCTTCTGACATAACCACTTGAGAAGTGACTGAAACGCTGTCAGCTCACACCAGGTAGGAGAATTACAAGTCACACTTTAGAGAAACGAGGAACAGCACACTGAGAAATGAAAACACTTATTTATGCTGAAGGAAAACATTTCAATCACGGCCTGAAAAGTAACAATGGTGAAAATGCTTACCTTTGCCCAGGTGTGGTCTGATTCTCTCCTGGAACAGATGAGGAAGTGAATACCTTTGTTTCAGAAAGCTGTAGAAGAGTTAAGACAAAAAGGGGGGGGGAGTGGGGTTAGTTAACTCAATATGCAAAACCAAAAAGATCTTGGAATTCCTAATAAAACGTTCATCCATCCTCAAAAATTCACCTGCAAGGTATTTTAAGATAAATAAAATATGTAAATGACTGTGACATATGACTTCATATGTGAAGAAAATTTTCTTCAGGTGAAGAAAATTCTAAATTGCTAAGTCTACAAAATAATTTATCAGGAAAACGGTGACTTTAATGGAAAGCAATGATAAAATCAAGGTCCAAGTTCCAGTCTCCCTACTGTGTCATTACACAAAATAAAAATAAAAACAGCAAAAACTTCTGCAAAAGTGAAATAAGACACAGGTCGGGGCCAGTGCCATGTCATATCAGGGTAAGCCTCCACCTGTGGAACTGGCATTGCCTAAGAGTGCCAGTTTAAGTAAGGACTGCTCCACTTCCCACCCAACTCTCTGCTTATGACCTGGGAAAGTAGCACATGGGTCAAATCCTTGAGCCCCTTCACCCACATGAAGACCTGGAAGAAATTCTTGCCTTCAAATTGATTCAGCTGCCGCCATTGTGGCCATCTAGGGAATGAACCAGTAGATGGTAGATCTTTCTCCTTTTAACTCTGCCTTTCAAATGAAAACAGAGGATAGATCGGGCCCAGCGCAGTAGCCTAATGGCTAAAGTCCCCACCTTCAATGAGCCAACATCTCATCTGGGCATCGATTTCTATCCCGGCTACTCTACTTTACTTCCAGCTCCCTGCGTGTGGCCTGGGAAAGCAGTAGAGGGTGGCCCAAAGCATTGGGACCCTGTGTCTGCATGGGAGATCTGGAAGAGATGCATTACTTTGGATCGGTTCAGCTCCAACTGCTGTGCCACTTGGAGAGTGAACCAGTAGATGAAGGATCTTTGTCTCCTCCTCTCTGTAATTCTGACATTTCAATACAAATAAATCTTTTTTTTTTTTCTGCAAGGGATGTGAAAGCAGCATGTAATCAGCTCACATGGCACCACTTCCAGCACATTCAGCAAACCATCCCCTTGATCCACAGAAAACCACTGTGAGAAGCAGGGGCCTGGGAAGCACTGCCACAGCCCCCTAGGGTCACCTGGTATAAAAGCGACAAAAAGGCCAGAGGGAAATCATGGCTTCCCTGCATCAACAACAAATAGGACACAGGCCTTGATCAAATGACAAAGCACTGTCAGACGCAGGGAAAATGGCCTGGGGAAGCAGCAACACTGAGCCCAGAAAAACACCCTCCAAAGGATCAAGCTGCCACAAGATAGCAGAGCACCAATGCTGCCTGCTCTGCTAATGACCCTGGGAAGGCAGCAGCAGAGGATGGCTGATCCAGGGAGTCACTCGGGCCAGTGCCAACCACATGACAGACCAAGATGGAGTTGCTGACTCCTGGCTTCAGCCAGGCCCAGCCCTGCCTGCTGGGGTCATTGGGGAAACAGAACGGATAGAAGGTCTTTCCATTGCTCTGCCTTCAAATCCATCAATCAAAGATAACTCTGGCAGAGTTCAGAGCACCACTGGTAGAAAAGTGGGTACTCACCAGCCCCACAGATCGCCTTGCCCCCGCATATTCCCACATGCCCACTGTGCTGGGCTCCGGCCCTCAAAACCATGCCTCTTCTTCCTTCCAGTTTCTGCTTTCACTTGTTCCTGAAGGGCTGAACCTGCGGTCTGCTGCACACGCTCCATGGAGTCAGCCAAACACTGCCCTCCAGGGCACAGCACGTCAGGGGAAATACCAAACCAACTTTGTCAAAACCACACAGGTCCAGCAGGGGGTCCCGCAGAGAGCCCCTAGGCCAGCTGCCAGCAGGCACTGACAAGGTGCTGAGGGACAGGTGTGGGAAAGCTGCAGGGTTTGCAAGGGACGGCACTGGACCCTCCAAACACGGGGAAGCGCTTTCCACAGCTGCTCTCCCTGCACTATCAATGACCAGGGCACGGGCAGCCCACGATCACTTTCGAATACAGGGGAAATAAATAAATCTTAAAAAAAAAAAAAAAAAGATGACACATGTCTTTTGGTGATACTGCTATGATACAGCAAGTAAAGCTAGCACTGATATTCCATATGGGCATCAGTTATAATCTAGCTGCCCTAATGCATCCTTGAAAGCAGAGAAAGATAGACCTGTTCCTCAAACATTCCCACCATAATCAGTGGTCCAAAAAGCATGCACACTTCTCAATTATGTAAACATCATCCAAAAAATATCCATAATTCAACATGTTTAAAGATAGTGCAGAAAAAACAGTTTGGCAGTATTGTTAAACACACCCACATACCAGCAGCCCACATCAAAATGTGTATAGAGTGTCTCCTATTCAATAGAACTTTCAGCAAATGCACATGGCTCTAAGGCAACAGGTGGCTTCCCAAGTACTGGGGTTCCTGTTATCTAGGGGCATTCTTAGCTACTTATTTTTCTGACCCAGGCAAGCCGGCTGTTGGAAAGAAACTGGGTAACAAGCCGGATGCCCCGAGGCTCCCTCTCCTCCAAAAATGTTTTTTTAAAAAAAGACTGTTTGAAAGAGATGAGTCTGATCTGTGACCAGACACTTACATCCTCAGTCCAGTCTTCCGTTGTCCATTCCTCCACAGAATTCTTCCAGGCACCTGTCGAGAAATGACAACAATCAAATTGCACAGCACAAACTCACACGTGGCCATACTACAAAGGATTTTTGTATTCTGTATTATCTCCCTTCCCCACCCCCCAATCATACAATGGAAATCTCAATCCCAAAAACATGAGATTTCTAACAAATTCTCACTATAGTCAGTAATATTTTCCAATACAACTTAGCTAGATCCTGATTATTCCAGGCCCCTCCAATTTAAAGTTCACAGAAAATAATTACAAATGGAAATACATCAAGACACTAACTATAACCATCCAGAGAACTCAGATTATAAATGGTTCTCTCTTCCCATCCCTGGACACTCAAACTGCCATGTTTCTCTCCAAATTTTTGTATAGAGTGCTGGCATTACTACAAGGAGGTAAAAGCTACCACCGATATCCCAAATTAGTACTGGTTCCAGTGCCAGCTGCTCCACTTCCGATGCATTTCCCTGCAAAGGTGTCTGGGAAGACAACAGAAGATGACCCAAGTACATGGGGCACCGCCACTCATGTGGAAGACCTGAGAAAGTTCAACTGCTGCCTTTGGTCTGCTCAATCACTGACATGGCAGACATCAGGGATTAGACCACTAGATGAGAATTTCTCTCTTTCAAATGAAAAAACAGAAGTGAAAGAGAATAGAAGGTGATAAGTGATCAGGTTTAATTTTTTTGGAATCATGTCAACCTAATAATCTGTTCACAATAAAATGGTGGGTGTGGGTTAAGATGCCTGCTCCACTTTCAAACTGCCTAGGTTCAATTCTTAATTCTTGGCTCTGGATCCAGACTCTACCTTCCATTCAATATCAAAACTGGGGGAAAAAAAGGTGACAATCTAGGTGGAAGGCCTGTATTGAGTTTGGCCTCCTGGTTCTGGCCAAGCCCAATTTTGTCAACTGCCTACATTTAATAAGTTACTCAGCAGATAAGAATGAAAAAAGGGGGGGTGGGGCGCAGATGGAGGAAGAAAAAGGTCAATAATCAAAGTTGGACATGTTTATCAAATGGCTATAAAAACATAAATATCTAAATTCTTGAAAGACTGACTTATTTTGGAAGTCACATTTTACAATGAGAAGGAGGGAGGGAGAAAAGGACAGCGAGGAGAGAGTAAAATCTTATCAGAATCTTCCATGTAGAAGGCCACAACAGCTGGGTGGAAGCTGGAACCAGGACCTCCACCAAGGTCTACCTCGCGAGCACAGGAACATAGCACTTACATTCCCTCTCCCAGGCAGGGAGCCAGATTGGAGGTGGTACAACCAGGGCATAAACTGGTGCCCAAATGGGATGCTAGTATGGCAGACAGCAAGTTTACCTGCTATGTCACAGCAGTGGCCACCTGAACTTTCACTAGCTAGTCTTGGTAAAAATGAAAGATAATTTAGGTATATTAAATAAATAAACTGAAAACAAAACATCCATACCTTTGTAAGAATTTTTGTTTGGCAGATCCTGAACTATGCTGTGATCATTGGATGCCAGTTCTATACATGAATGTAAAACGCAAGATTTTAGCATACAACAAAGTACACCTCAGAAGAGAAATTGGCCAGCAACTGACAAGGATTGGGGACCAAGCATTCACATAAATTACAGCCTAATGCTACAATTATTCTGCTTTATTATTATCAGTGTTCATCATTTACTATGTCTCAATCATGAACCAATCCTTGTGTTATGCATGTATTTAATCATGAAGGGAAAAACAGTGTACACGGGGTTTGGAGCACTCTCTAGTTGCAAGCCTTCCCACTAGGGATTTTACAACACATCCCCTATCGAGGATGGGAGATACAGGAAGAACAACTATTGTGTCTATACTGCCACAAGTTTTATTGCTCTTTGAACAAATGTCTCATCAACCACACTCAGACATTCCCAGGTTTACCAAGCTCCCTTAAAAACTGTCTAGCAGTTTGGCCAGTTAGTTTTCCTCAGAAAAAAAAGGTTTATGCACACTATATCTGACAGTCAGCTTTCTGGGCTGCGATGCTGTGGGCTGGGATTAGACCTCTGTCTTAACAATAGCAATGTACCACTGCAAAAAAATGGCATCAGCTAATGGAATCCTTTCACTATATTTTCCAACAAGCTCATTTTGCTTAGGTAAATGTGTTTTCTCAAGAAATTTGTTACTGTAAATTACAATAAGGAGGAGGGAAAGGAAGTAGAAAAGATAGGTGAAAAAAATGAAGGGAAAATAAATGAAAAACAGCTAATAAGAGTTAATTCAACATTCTATAATAGCTTGATTGTTTTAATTATCAGACAAATAAATTCACTAGACATAGAACTTATGTACTTTTGTTCAGATGTGCTTTCACCCCACTTTTTGCAAAAGCTATGTATGGCAGTGTGACATTATATGTAACTATGTACTTCTCTGCTCAGAAATTCTAGTTGTTTGACCATCCTCATTAGCACATGGAATTATTAATTTTCTCATAGCCAATTTAATAGATGAATGATAGGTAATTAATTATTACTTTCATTTCACGAGCTACCAGTCATAAATATAAATATATATTCTGTGGGATGATATGCCATGTTTTACCATCTTCTTTCATGTTGCATCTGTTTTAATATTTTCATTTTCATTTAGTGAACATTTTATTTTGAAATAATTACAAAGTCACAGAAAGTAACCTCCCACCCAGAAATATGAGGGCTACATCTCACATAATTATAAAACACTGTAAAAGCCAGGAAACGAATATGTTTATTGTGTGTGTGTGTGTGTGTGTGTGTGTGTGTGTGTGTGTGTGTTGGGGGGTGTGCTTCCATATTTTTTATCAGAGTAAAACACAGATTAAACAGAATTTAGCCTTCTTGGCCCAGCGTGGAAGCCTCGTTGACTAACATTCTCTTCTTGTATGCCCGGGATCCCATATACGCGTGGGTTCATAATCCAGCTGCTCCACTTTCCTTTCAGCTCCCTGTCTGTGGCCTGGAAGGCAGAAGAGGATGGTCCAAAGCCTTGGGACTCCATACTTCTGTGGGAGACCCAAAGGAGGCTCCTGGCTCCTGCCTTCAGATTGGCTCAGCACTGACTGCTGCAGCTACTTGGGGAGTGAACAAGCAGATGGAAAATATCTGTCTCTCCTTCCCCATGCATATCTGACTTTCAAATAAAAATAATTAAATCTTAACCCAATCCCCCCAATTTATCATTCAGAGGTACTAGGTACATTCCCAATGTTATGTAACCATTATAATTATCCATTTGCAGAATTATTCCATGTTCTCAATGTTTTTTGTTCAGAGAGGTTTCTTTTCATGCTGCTGAATTTTCAGGCTTCTGCATTTTTCCACATATAAACAGTCTGTCAAATGAGGAATTTACACAAATTTTCCCCTAGAGTATGGCTTGTCTTCATTATGTTCTTCTTCAAGAGAGTAGAATTTCATAACAGGTAGCTACCAGCAGGGAGATGAGTGGGAAGTGGAGCAGCCGGGATTCAAACAGGCACCCATATGGGATTCCAGCAGATACAAGCGAAGAATTCAGCCACTATGCTATCATACTGGTCCCAAAATAAACAAATTAATCTTTAAGAAAAAAATCATCTGGGCCCAGAACCGGGGCCTAGCAGCTAAAGTCCTCCCCCCCAGTACGTGCCGGGATCCCATATGGTTGCTGGTTCTAGTCCCGGCAGCTCCACTTCCCATCCAGCTCCCTGCTTGTGGCTTGGGAAAGCAGTCGAGGACAGCCCAAGGCCTTGGGCTCTGCACCTGTGTGGGAGACCTGGAAGAAGTTCCTGGATCCTGGCTTCAGATCAGTATAGCACTGGCTGTTGAGCTCACTTGGGGAGTGAATCTTTGGATGGAAGTCTCTCCTCCTCTCTCTGTATAGCTGACTTTCCAATAAAAATAAGACAAATCTTAAAAGAAAAAAAAAATTCATCTTTGCCTAACACCACGAAACTCTTAGGGCTGGTATTGTGTGGTTCAGGGGGTTAAGTCACATCTTGCAATGAAGACATCCCATATGGGCAACAGTTCCTGCTGTTCCACTTCCAACCCAGCATTAGGCTAACGGCAGGGGAAACAGCACATTGCAAACATAAAACCTAGAGACAAAACACAAAACTAGCGTATGTCAAAAATAGAACACTTACCACTTCCTTCATGAGCTCCATTCTGAGCAGTTTCCCAAATCACCGCCTTTGCCCCACATCCATCTGAAGATGTAGAATCTGAATAGTCCGCAGGATTAAAAGTCCTTCAGTTTGAAATAAGCAAATAAAGACAAATCAAGCAAGTAAAGCCACAAAATTGAAGACATATGAACATACAAAAGACTACCCTCTCTCACTTTCCAATTTAAGTATAACTATTTTTGCAGCCTTTTGTCTAAAAGTTGTCTCTATTCTAATGCAAGCATGAGGACGAAGGAATCTTCTGATAAGGGATCTAATGCAGAGGCCCACTCAAAACTAACCTATGAACAGAGAACAGGCCTTTTCTACCCACATCCGAAACTAAGGTTGAACTTTTCAAAAGAGAATTTATGAATTGCTTTATACATAGAAACACTGGCTGTGTTCATTAAGTCCCTCTTTTTCCTCAAAATCTTAAACTGAACAAGCATAAGCAATCATAAGCCATACGTCTAGTATAGGCCACAACAAACATTGCCTTTAATATGTGCATTTAAAAAACAAGCAGAAAAATCTAAAAAGAAAAGTCATGAGCCAGATGAATACTTAAGTACTCCCTGGGTTTTCATTTCTTCATTTTAAATAGACAGCTCAAACAGAAAACAGAGAGGACAAGCAGCATCACAGCCATCGACATCACCAGCTACTAAGAGCTACCCACTGACAGTGTTTTCTGGAACCAACTCCCTTCCTTCCTTCATGACTGTTCATCAACCTATGGCTTCCACAAGAACAAAAGCCTTTCAAAGCAGTGAGCATTATGGCACAACAGGCATCAAAGTACCAGTGCTGCTTTCAGGCCCAGCTGTTCCACTTCTGATTCAGCTTTCCTGTTAATGCACCGGGGAGGACCACAAGTGATGGGTCAGATACTAATGTGGGAGACAAGGACACAGCTCCCGGCAAAGCCCCAGGTGCTGAAGCCAATATGGAAGTGAACCAGTGGATTGCCCCTCCTACCTATCACTCTGCTATTTCAACAAATCAATCTGGGAAGAGAGAGAATTCAGAAAGAAACTGCCAATTATACTGCCTTATTCACAATTTAAACTCAAGGAACAACATTAACATAAGTGTTTCACAGCTGTGGGATTTACAAGCATGGCTCCCACAGCAGCGGTTTTCAGCTGGGGATGATTACACACCCTCCTCCCAAGAAACATCTGGGCAATGTCTCCAGACAACCTCAGGAGAGGTGCCACTGGCATTTGACAGAAAAAAACAGATGTTCATAAACACCCTATAACGTACACCATTAACCTAGTAAAGTATTGTCCAAGTTAAAGCATCTATAGTGCCAAGGAAAAGAAAACCTCCCCTAAAAGCTATTGAGGTATCATTTAACTTGCTGGTAACTCTTCTAAAATACAAAAGAAAAATTTGTGAATCATCCGGTTAAATTTGACAAGGTGGACAAAGGAAAAAAACTGAACATCTAGGGCAGAACTACATAAGTATGACAGCTGTAACTTACCCCATGCCTTGCGTTGAAAACCTTCCTGCCCCTCTCCCTCTACCACGTCCAAATCCTTAAAAAAATAAAAATCACATGATAAAACTTAAACCCCACACAATTAGGCTTCTATCATCATATTCATGCTATACTCAAAACCAAGACAATACAATAGCACAAATATGCCCATCCAGGGTACCAAACTGACTATTCTCAATGACAAAATTGCCTACCCAGGAAGGAGTATTAATGGCTAGAAAACAACAGAATACTGCTCGAGTATTTGTAATATGTAAAAGCTACACCTAGGCAAACTACATTCAGAAACAATGTGTGTTTTTGTCTTTTAAAATCTAATCATTTGGACCCGGTATGGTAGCCTAGTGGCTAAGTCCTCACATCGCAGGCATCGGGATTACACATGGGTGCTGGTTCTAATCCTGGCAGCCCAGCTTTTCACCCAGCTCCCTGCTTACAGACTGGGAAAGCAGTCAAGAACAGCCTAAAGTCGTGGGACCTTGCACCGAATGGGAAATCCAAAAAAGGCTCCTGCTTGCAGACTTTAAATCAGCAAAGCTCTGGCTCGAGGCTGCTTGGGGAATGAAGCACAGTACGGAAGATGTTCTCTTTCTTCTCTCTGCATATCTTACTTTCCAATAAAAGTGGATATATAAATCTTTTTTTTAAAGTCTATTCATTTATTTGGAAGAATGAATGACAGAAAGGGGACGAAAGAGGTATCTGGGCCCAGTGCAATAGTGTAGCAGTTAAAGTCCTCGCCTTGAACATGCCGGGATCCCATATGGGTACCGGGTTCTAATCCCGGTGGCCCTGCTTCCCCATCCAGCTCCGCTTGTGGCCTGGGAAAGCAGTAGAGAGCGGCCCAAAGCTTTGGGACCCTGAACCTGCATGGGAGACCCAAAAGAGGCTCCGGGCTCCTGGTTTTGGACTGGCTCAGCTCTGGCCATTGCAGCCACTTGGGGAATGAATCATCGGGAAGGAAGATCTTCCTCTCTGTCTCTCTTCGACTCAGTATATCTGCCTTTCCAATAAAAATATAAATATAAACCTTAAAAAAAAAAAAAGACAGAGAGGTATCTTGCACATTTTGGACGATTCTGAAAAACATCCAGGTCCGTGGTAAAGCCAGCAGCACAAGGTTTCCCACATAGTTGGGAAGAACTCAAACACAGATGCCATGAGGTACTGCCTTCTCACCCACATTAACAGGAAGTTGGATTAAAAGGAGTCAATTTAAATGGTCACTCTGACACAGGTTTTCAGCAGAGCAAACTGAGGTTTAATCTATTGTGCCACATTATAAGCCTCAAATTACATCTTTTAAATGTGAGTACACAATTGTATGGTAGGTTAAACCACTGTCTGCAACACCATCATCCTATTTCTGACAGCAGTTTCAACTCCTTGAGGTTCCACATTTCACTCAGCTCCCTGCTAACATCTGGAAAAGCAGTAGACCATGCCTGAAGGGCTTGGACTGGTGACACCCACATGGGAAACCTAACTCTTCATTTCAGGCTTCAGCCAGGGGAAACCCTAGCCAATGTGGGAATACAGGGTGAAAACCAGAAAATGGCAAAGAGAGCATTCTCTGTCTTTATCTGCTTATATGCCTTATAGTCTAGCCTGGCTGTTTAAAAGCTGCTGATGCCATCTTGTTTCAGCCAAGAGAGGAACTGTGGGGAAAAAAGTGGATGTGAAATTACTGCCTAGGGACATCCAAGGATAAGGCCACCATATGCGTAGGTGAGGAAAGAATCCTAAGGGATCCTAACAACAGGGCCATTGTACTTGCAAGTAAGTGAGGGGTCTGAGACCTGGTGGTTTGGAGGAGAGACAACATCTGTATGGGTCAGATCGATGCATCAGCCCACATGGGAGTTAAACTGGGCTTGTTAGCACGGCACATGGCTGATCACCACATGCCAGCCCACATGAAAGCTAGGGCTGGGGACCTGTTTAGCACAGCTAGATCTCAGTACCTAACAGGGGACGGTTCATATTGGGCAGGGCTATGACAATCAGCACGCAAGAGAAAAAGGTCTTGTGGGAGATAAGTGAGCGCAACCCTGTGGAAATACAAGTCCCATTGGTTAGCTTAAGAGTTGGGGTGGTGATGGGCTGAGCTAGGTGTGACCATGGAACCTGCCAACACTCATGGGTACTGGGACCAAGAATAGGCTGGGCAGGTCCAGGCTGCAGCACCCACATGTGCATCCTAAAACAAGGTATGGGGCGGGCCTGGCTGCAACATTCACTAACCCACACAAAGGCCAAGATGGAGGGGCAGGCAATGCCAGGCAAAGGCCTAGCACCCACATGGTCGAGATCTGGTTCTGAGAGTAGGCCAAGGGGGGAAACTTGGGAAACTCCCCTAGTAGCTCCTGCTGGCAAGTATATGGTCCAGGTCTGGGTGTTGGGTAGGCTGAGAAAGGTAGCTCTAACCATTGGCAAGTATGTGGATTGGTTTTGGGAAGGGGGCAGATCAGGCATGGCTGAGCAAACCTCAGCTCACTGGCAAGTGCAGAAACCAGGATGGAGCATAGGTCAAGATGGGATAAGCTGTCACACCTACAGGTCTGCATGAGCCAAGGATGGGAAGAGATTGAGCAGGGCCAGGTTTCAGGTTCTTCACCACCAAGATTTGGGACTGGGGGAAAGCCAGGTCAGACCAGGCTGTAGCACCCAAAGGCAAAGGCCAACCAGGTGAGGAACTATGCCAAGCTGGATCAGAGCAATCACTGGCACATGCAAGATCTGTGGCTGGAAACAGCCCTGGTTGGGGAGCAAAAGGGACACCCTGGCTGGGTTGTGGGTCCCACTGGTGAGTTCAAGGGCTGGAGGAAGGGCTGCTATCTGGTCTGGACATGGCTACAGTCCCCTGGCATAGGTGTGGACTGGGTCTGAGGTGTGCCAGACTGGATTAGACTCCAGCACCCACTGGAGCTTGTGAGAACCAGGGTGGGTATAGGATGGGCTGAGCTAGATCTCTGCCCCTGCTGAGCCATGTGTGAGCTGTGTTTGGGTGTAGACCAGGCTTGGCTATGCTGTAGCAGAAAAAGCAAAATGATTGAAGGCTGATCAGGAAAGGTCACTGTTATTGCTAGGAGAGGAGGTGGACTAAGTGGGACTGGCCCATGGTCCGACTGATGGGTGGAGTTCTGGCAATGGGAGAGGTTCTGATGGAGGAGCTTGGGAAACTCCTTGGTCAGGACACAATCACTGAAGGTTAACATAAGAAATACGATAGGGAACAGCCCAGACCAGGCCAGGGAATGGTACCACTGGCATACAATTGCCACATGTTGGGGGCAAGCCAGGTTGGCCAGTTCATATCACCGGCTGGTGAATCAGAGCACCAGAATAGAGTGTGGGTCAGGTCGGGTTGGACAGCAACACAAGCCAGTTCACGAAGGCCAGGACTGGGGACCTGCTGGGCTGGGTTAGGCTGTAGCCCCTACCAGCATGAGCTAGAACTAGGGTGGGCTGGGCCCAGCAGGGCTACAGCACCCATTGGCAAAAGTCATGGTGAGACAGGCCATACCAGACTAGGCTGCAGCACCCAACCAGCACATATGAGACCTGGGAGGGAGGGGGCAAAGTTGGTAGGTGGAATGTGGAAAGCTGTCCTGCTGGACCACCACTCCCACTGAAGAGCATGATCGCTGGGATCAGGGGTAGACCAGGAAGGGAAGGGCTACAACACTGTTGGCCTCATGTGAGCCAGATCAGGGAAAAGCAAGGCTGGGATAACTGTTCCTATTGGTGTATACACAAGACAGAGTAGGTGTGGGTTGGTTGGGCTTTGCTACAACATCAGCTGGCAGAGGCTGGTAGAGAGGCAAATTCTGTCAAGTTAAACTGCAGAACCACCTGAGGAGTGCATGATCCAGGAGTGGGAGCGAGTCCATCAGAGAAACAGTGGGCATCTCCCTCTTGGGTTGCCATTCCGACTGGTGAACATGAGAACCAGGATTAGGGATGGGCATGGCTAGAGTGGCACCCACATGCACGTGTATGGACTGGATAATGAGGCTGGTTGGGTTGAATTGGACTTCAATGCCCACTGATACATATGGGTTATGGGACAGACTAGATCTGTCAGCTGTACATACTGGCAAGCACAGGAACCAGGGTAGGGGGTAGGCCTGGAGGAGGTTACTGTGGGTTGCTCTGACTAGGATGGAGCTCTCACTGGTTTGCATGAGGGCCAAATGTACGGTGGGCAGGATCAGGCTGGGCTGTAACACCCATTAGATCATATGGAAGATAGGGCTGGAAATAGAACTGATCCAGCAATTGCAACCACCATCATGTGCATAAGCTGACTGGGATGGTAGATGTACCAGACCCTGTATCAGTAAGCACACACAAGAATTAGGTCTGGGATCTCCTCAGATGACGTTTCTTTGGGGATCCCCAAAACTGAATCACTGGACTCAGAACCCCAAACATGGAAAGAATTTCAGGTTCCAAGGTCTGATTATGGAGTGTATATGTCAGTGCTGAGCCTCCTCAGTGGCTCAGATGGAGCAGTGGGCAGCATATCCAGGTACACAGGAGGATATGGCAGTACACTAGAATCCACAGAAGACACCTGGTACCACAATAGAGGATGGAGGACAGAACAAATTGATCAACAACCTCAGTCAAGTGTTGACAGGGAATACCTGGACAAAGACAGACTTCTAAGGGGACTATGACAGCCAGTGGATTCGTTGTGCTTGGAGAAAATTTCGTTGTGCTTGGAGTGGCAAGATCATCAGTAATTTATAACTACTGAACTATCAAAACCTCATGAGCAGGACCCTCAGTGCATGCCCCACATCGGGGACCCTGGGGTGGTTTTGGGTGGTTGCCCTCCACCCCAAGGTGGAGATGCATTTGGGAGGCTGGTTGTGGCTTCTCCCCTTATCTCCCTCCTTGATCCAGACACAGGAAGGGAAAAAAGAAAATGTGGAAATAATGGTATCCCCCACATTCCTGTAGCCATTGACCCTTATTACCCTAATTAACTATGTAATACCATGAAAATAAATACATAAATAAACCTAAAAAACAAAGAAAAATAAATTGACTTCCTATAAATTCTGAGAACTAAAACTTTACCTTAAGATTTTAATTATAAAATTCTAACAAGAAAACACAGGGAAAACATCACAGAACTGGATTAGACATAGGTTTACAAATAGGATATCCAAAGCACAGTAAACAGAAGCAAAAGAACCGGACTTTATCAAAGTAGAAACCACTAGGGCAGGTGTTTGACAGAGTAACGTCCCTAATTAGGATGCCCACATCCCCTAGAGCACCTCACTGGGTGACAGAGGCTCTGCTTCTGACAGAAATTCCTGCCAACACAGACCTTGGGAAGGTCACTCTTATGGGAAACCCGGACTAATTCTGCCTTCATACTACCCAACCCCAGCTGCTGTTGACATCTGAAGAATCAACCAGTGGATACAATTTCTATGTATATTCAAAAGACATTAAGCAACAGACAAAAATGTCAACCCATAGAATGGGAGAGAATGCTCATCAACTGCATATCTAATTAAGTGGCATATACAAAAAAATAGATATAACCACAAAGAGTCAACAACAACAAAAAACCCAACAGATTCAAAAAGTATCAAAGGAGCTGAAAGCATAGATAACATAGAAAATAACAAAACACAGAAATGACCATTAAGCACACAAATTCACAATTTGATAGGAAAACATAAAAACTGCAATAAAGCACCGCCTGACATCTACTGGCACAGACAATATTTTTAAAAAGCACAGGAATTTAGTGTTGTTGGAGACAGAGATCACCTCTGTGGCAACAGTTTGGGAACATAAACTGGTGCAAGACTCAACATCGTGGCCCAGCGAGTTTAAGCCACTGGCTTTGACAGTGGTGACCCACATTTGAGTTGCCGATTCAATTCCTACCTGTCATGCTTCCAGCTCAAGCTTTTAGAAATACCTGTGGGGAAGGGTGGGGGTGGACAGATAGGAAGCACACTGGTTCAATTGGCTAATCCTTCCTCAAGCACTAGGATCCCATTTCAGTGCCATTTCATGTCCCAACTGCTCCACTTTCTATCCAGCTCCCTGTGAGTAGCAGTGATGCATAGCCCAAAGCCTTGGGATCCTGCACTCACACGGGAGACCTGGAAGGAGCTACTGGTTCTAATCAGCTCAGCTTTGAATGCTTAGGGAATGAATCAGTACTTGGAAATTCTGTCTATCTCTCCTACTAACTGTAAATCCGACATTCCAATGAAAGAAAGGGAGGGAGGCAGAGAGACAGAGAATGGAGACACAGGGGAATGGAAATGAAAATAGATAGCCCAACTACATGGGCACCTGCCACTCATGCTTCAAGACCAGGATAGAGTCACAGGCTACTACCTTTGACCGTACTGTAGCATTCATTTGGGGGGAGAAGGGGCCGGGGAAGGGATCAACAAATGGAAAATATCTCCTGCATCCTGTTTCTGTCACTATGTCTTTCAAATAAATAAATCCCAAGGAGAGTGGGGGGAAAAAAAACGTAATGTGGAGAAACTGATTTAATATTGAACAAGACTCCTTTCACTGATTCAATCCCCCAAACGCCCCCAATGGCTGGAGTTGGCCCAGTCTGAAGAGAGTACCCAGAACTTCTTCAGGGTCTTACCATGGGTATAGGGATGCAAGGACTCAAGCCATCCTCTGCTGCTTTCCCAGATGTATTAAAAGAGCTGGATCAGAAGTAGAGCAGGCAGGACTCAAGCTGCTGGCCATATCGGATGCCAACATCATATGCAGAAACCTGAATGACTACTTTCTCTTTTCTCTTTTCATTTTCTTTTCTCTTGTCTGCCTCCCTCCTTCCCTCTCTCCCTCCCTTCCTCCCTTTCTTTCACCAATCCATTTATTTCTTTTAAAAAGGCCCTGCTTCCCTTCCAGCTCCCTGCTTGTGGCCTGGGAAAGCAGTCAAGCACAGCCCAAAGCTTTGGGACCCTGTAATCATGTGCGCGATCAGAAAAAGCTCCAGGCTCCTGATTTCGGATTGGTTCAGCTCCGGCTGTTGCGGCCATTTGGGAAATGAACCATCAGAAAGAAGATCTTCCTCTCTGTCTCTCCTCCTCTCTGCATATCTGCCTTTCCAATAAAAATAAATACATCTTGAAAAAATGATACAAGCTTAACAGCTCATTCAGAGGAAACAGCAAATGAATGACAAAACCTTAAGATATCAACTCTTCTTCTGGACGACACTGCCACCCTCCATCAGATCAGAGCCTTAGGAAAGCAATGCTAGATCCTTTCCATCTGATCTCATGCGTTTTCTCCCTCTAGTCCTGTCTTACCTCTACCACGTGCTCGCTTCCCACGATCTGAAGATTTGTCCCCTTGACTGCAATCAATTCCATTCTCTTCACCTCTAACTAGGGGGGGAAAAAAAAGAGAAAATCTATTCTTCTTTCAAAATCTCTCGCACATAATCCTACCAGACATATACAGGACACAATGAGAATAAAGCCTAAACAGAAGGTTAAATTTAACCCAAAAATTTAGTAATAATAGAAACAAAAAACAACTCAAAAACTGAATCACAGTACATTTTACTTACCTCAGATGTCAAAATTCCAGAAACAAAATTAGACTAATCTACTGATTTCCCTCTCATCAATATAAGCTTGTGCTTCCCTAAAATACACTCATTTCTGGAGTCTGCACAGATATGTAGCAAGCTAATCCTCTGCTTGCACTGCCAGGATCCCTTATTGGTACCAATGCAAGTCCCAGCTGCTCCACCTCCCATCCAACTAATTGCTAATGTGCCTGGGAAAGCAGCAGAAAATGGCACGAGGCCTTGGCTCCCTGTACTCACCTGGCTTCAGACTGGTACAGCTCTAGTTATTCTGGCCACTTGGGGAGTGCACAAACTGATGGTTTAATATTTGTTTTTATTGGATAGTCAGATATAGAGAGGAGGAGATACAGAGAGGAAGATCTTCTGCCAGTTAACTCACTCCCCAAGTGGCCACAATGGTTGGAGCTACGCCGATCCAAAGGTAGGAGCCAGGAGCTTCTTCCAGGTTTCCCACATGGTTGTAGGGTCCCAAGGTTTGGGCTGTTCTCGACTGCTTTCCCAGGCCACAAGCAGGGAGCTGGAAGGGAAGGGAAGCAGCTGGGACTTAAAAGGAGCCCATACGAGATCCCCTTGTCTGCAAAGCGAGGACTTTAGCCACCAGGCTATTGCACCTGGACCTCTTTCCATCTCTGATTTTGAAATACATAAATCTTTAAAAATAAAAATTAATAGAAAGCCTGGAATGGCTCAGAATGACAAAACAGAAATACTAGTTTGAGTTTCTAAAGCATGCTCTGAGTGCTCACTCGTCCTCATCTCCAAACAGGCACTAATGACGCCATCCTACAGAAACTACATACTACAGACACCCTGCATGGCTTGCTCTGCATGCCTCTTCAAGGGCACTAACTCTCAGCGAGACCTTCACAGACAAAGCACTTAATCTGTCAAAACTTTTCCCACAATACTCATTTCAAGGTTCATCCAATAATGGTTTTTAATAACTCCATTAAAATAGTAATATAGATATTTTGGGGCAGGCATTGTGGTGTAGTGAGTTAAGCCACTGCCTGAGACACCAGCACTTACAAGAGTGTGGGTTCAAGTTCCTACTTCTTCACTTTCAATCCAGCTTCCTAGCAACGCACCTTAAAAAACAGCAAACAATGGACCAGGTGCTTGGGCCCTTACTATACACATAACAGACTCCGATGGAATTTTAGGCTACTGCCTTTGGCCTGTTCTAGCTCTGACTGTTATAAAAATTTTGGAGAATTATCCAGCAGACAGTAAATCTTTCTCTAATTCTGTCCTTCAAATAAATCCATCATAAAAATAAATATTATGCAACACTTCTAACTATTACAGCCCATTTACTTTCACCTATTTTCTTCAGTGCTATATATAGAGTGTACAACATATATGACATAATGGAATGAGTGAGTTACCAAATTCACTAGGTGATTATGCTAAATATGTCCCATTCATTCATAACTTAGCTATTTTGCATTTGCATATGGTAGGGCTGTAAATGCTGCCAAACCTAAATCTAATAAAGTAATGAGAAAAGTTGCTCAATAGTTTTCCTGTTAATCTAACCCATATCTATATAACAAGTGTAGGTGTAAGAAAATGTTTGCTTTGGTTAAAAATCATCTGAAAGGCATCGAGGGTGACAGGGCTGGTACAGTGGTACATCAGCTTAATCCTCTGCCCTGTGGTGCCAACATCCCCTAGGGAAGCCAATTCATGATTGGTTCACGTCCCAGCTGACTGACTCGCCATCCAGCTCTTTACTTGTGGCCTGAGAAAGCAGTGGAGAACGGTCCAAAGCCTTGGCACCTGGTACCCACATGAGAGATCCAGAAGAGGATCCTGGCTCCCAACTTCAGATCAGCATATCTCTAGCAGAGGTGACAGCTGAGTGTCGAGGAACAAGGACATGATCTATCTTAACATTACTCTCCCAGTTGCATTAGCAGGGAGGTGGATTGTGAAGTGCAGTATATAAGCACCAAGTAGGCACCTGTATGGAATGCCAGCACTGCAGGAGGTTGTGTAACTGCTAAGTCTCAATGCCAGCCTAAAACCAATTTCACTTTAGTGGACATCATGGTATAGCATGTTGGGCTACTGCTTGTCATGCCCATATCCCACACCTGAGTGCCAGCATGAGTGCCAGCTACTCCACTGTTAATCTTGTTCCCTACAAATGACCAGAGGCAGTCATTGATGGTTCAAGTGCTTGCATATCTACTAACAGCAGAACCCAAAACCAAGATGCCATTCCCATCTCTTGGATTCTGCCTGGCACAGCCCTAGCAGTTGTGGCCACGTCTCTATCACTCTGTCTTTCAAGAGTACCATCTATAAAAAGTATTTCATTTACTATTAAGTGAAACCCTCAAACACCTATTTCAAATAACTAGTTCTAGCTTTAAGGATAAATCCTGCCATTAAGGATAAGCTTACCAGCAATGCTAGCAGTAGCCTTTCAGCATTTCACACTGCATGAAAACTCATAGCCTGTACTTACATTCTCTGGAACGATTGCCACCTCTTCCTTTCCTGTTGGTGTTGCCACGTCCTCGACTTGGTTCTCTCTCATTTCTTTTCTCTCTATTTTCTTTGTTTTCTAAATTTTCTTTCCCCAAGTTTTTCTTCTTGCCCCCTACAGTCTCCCAGGAAGTCTACCAAAAAGAAAAGGTTGTCATTCAGACTAGTCATTAAAAGTACATATAATTTGAGCATGCTTTTATCCAAATAGCCCAGCATGTGCAGTTAACTGGCTTACTATTTTAAATCTTCCTCGTGTACTTCTGCTACTTCGATGATCAAATGACAATGCTAACCGCCTGCTGACCTACCAACATACTGTTTTCCCAATAAACAGCAACTTTCCAAGACGTATACTACTCCACCTCAAATCAGCAATAGACTTTCAGACTACTAATACATAGGTTATTTCAAAAATTTCTGCTTTCAATTGTTAGTATTTCAAAGATTACAAAATTATTTAGAAGGGGGGACAGCATTGTGGCATAGAAGGTTAACTGCCAACTGCAAAATCAGCATCCTATATGGGTACCAGTTCAAGCTTTGAAGCTCCATTTCTGATCCAACTCCATTACATATCTAGAAAACCAACATAAAATGGCCCAAGTGCTTTGATCTCTGCTCCTCCATGGAAGACCCAAATGCACCACCTAGTTCCTGGCTTCAGCTTGGCCCAGCACCAAACCAAGATGGCGGAATAGGGTAAGAACACATTTAAACAGATGGAGAAACATCAGCCAGTGTGAAGCAGAGAGGGAACATTCCAGGAAACAGGAAACAGAATGATAGCAGAGGGGCACCTGCACACTGACAGACATGGGAAGGCAGCCGACACAACAGCGTGGTGCTGCAGTGAGGATACCCAAATGGCATTTGGCATTCAGTAAGCGGTAATCTCCACCAGCAACAAGGTGGGAAGCGACATTCACTGGGGGCTCAGGAAGTGAACCCAGAAAAAGAATTGCCCATCCTGGTCTGTTTAATTTACCAGGAGCAGAGACAGAGCAGCAAGTCCCAGACAGGCAGTGTAGGAACAGGGTACATTTCACAGCCCAGTCTGCCCCCAAGAGCTGAATCGAGTACCATTTTGTATAGGGAGTCAAAGGCTATGGAACAGTACTGAGAATGCACTGAGCTGAGAGTGAACTCATTTTTGGCTCAGTGAACTGCAACAACATGAAATCCTACAGGCTCCACCCAAAATAGGTCTGAGTAGCACTCACACCTTACGGCCAGCAGATCAAGAACTCTAGTAGTGGCACATCAGGCACCATTCTGTACAGTGTGGAAAAACTTTAAGACTGCAGGGATAACTGAGCTGCGAGCAACTTCGGCATCGCACAGGTCAAACACTGTCCATGTAGCCCTCAGACCTAACGGCCAGCAGGCTCCAGAAAAATCAGCACTGCCAACAATCTAGTTACACAGGACACCTGGTGTCTCCCTAATGGTAGGAACTACTCTAACAGGAAGTAAGAGAAAGGTTGTACAGACAACGGTGCAGCCTCAGCACGGGATCACAGGAGATGGAGACTAGGGAGCCAGGAGCTGGGGCTACAGAGACCATGGTGCAAGTCTAACATAAGAGCCCAAACCTTGAACTTGCTGGAGGGAGTGGCAAAAGTGACTGCACATGGGCCCGGCGCCATGGCGCAGTGGTTAAAGTCCTCACCTTTAATGCCCCAGGATCCCATTTGGGGCGCTGGTTCTAATCCCAGCAGCCCTGCTTCCCATCCAGCTCCCTGCTTGTGGCCTGGGAAAGCAGTCGAGGACAGCCCAAAGCCTTGGGACCTTGCACCTGTGTGAGATATCCGGAAGAAGTTCCTGGATCCTGGCTTCGGATTGGCATAGCATCGGCCGTTGCACTCACTTGGGGAGTGAATATCAGACGGAATATCTTCCTCTCTGTCTCTCCTTCTCTCTGTATATCTGACTTTCCAATAAATGAATAAATCTAAAAAAAAAAAAAATTTGAACTGTAGACCTGTGGGTGACACACCTTAGAATCTTGCCCCAAGGAGAAGAATCTGATAACCAGAAGTACAATTATCAATAAAGGCACAATAAATATTACCAAATTTTCCCCTGCAAAGCAGCAAAACCCTTTGCCAACATCAGAGTTAACTGAGGAAGACATTGAAAAAATGGGGGACACAGAATTCAAAACACTTGTTATAAAGCTTCTTAACAATCACAAGAAGCATGTAACACAGGAGTTCAAGAAATTTAAGGAACATGTCACACAGGAAATGAATCAAATGAAAACTGATATATCAGAAATTAAGAATACAATGGAGCAAATTAAAAATTCAGTGGAGAATCTCCAAAATAGAATGAATAAAGAAGAATCTCAAAATTGGAAAATATTTCCTGTCACCAGGAGGAAACAAACAAAAAGCTGGAAGTATAGCAGTAAACAGTATTCAAGAACTGAAAGACACTATTAAAAGGCCAAATATAAGATTATGCAAGTCCCAGAAGAAGCAGAAAGAGAAGCTGGGATTAAAGGTGCATTCAATGAAGTAATAAGGGAAAATTTCCCTAATCTAGAGAAAGACCTGGGAAACAACATCCAGGAGGGGCACAGAACTCTCAACAGTGTTAACCAAAAGTGATCTTCATCACAACACATGATAATCAAGTTCTCATCAACAGAACATAAGGAAAAGATCCAGGCCAGAATAAAATGGAGTGACATATTCCAAATTCTAAAAGAAAAAAATTGTAGACCCAGGATAACATATAGAGCAAAGCTTTCCTTTGTTTGAAAATGAAATAAAATCCTTACTAGGTAAAGTTAAAAGAACATGCCTATTCCAAACCTGCTCTACAAAGGATACTTAAAGATGTTCTCTTGACAGAGGAACAGCACCCACTAAAACCAAAGGGAAATACGAAGAACATCTCAGGAAAATAACAGAAGACTAAATCAAGTAACAACCTACTGCTAAAATGACAGGACCAAATTACCACCCATTCATATGAGCCTTGAATGTAAATGAATCTTAAATGCAAACAGGTTAAACTCATCATTCAAACATCATAAATTAGTAGACTGGATTTAAAACTCAAAACCCATCTGTCTACAAGAGACATATCTCACCAACAAAAATCAGCAGAAACTATATCTCATGGATTTTTTTAAGTTCTTCTCTTCAAAACTCTCATTAAATTCTTCACTGACTCATAGATCATACACTAGCATCATTTTCTTCAACAAAGTTATTGATTTTCTTTTTCATTTCTTCAGTGACATATCAGTCATTCAGTACAATTTATCTAACTTCATGGCATTGTAAATTTCTATTTTTCTCCTGTTGTTGATTTTGTATTGTAGCTTTTCATTTAAGGCGATATGCAGTAACTGTGTAACGGAGACTATAGTATACAGATATGAGAGTACAATGCACCATGCATTTCTACTTCTATATCAAAGATGGACTCCCAATGAAACAGTTTACTATATCTTGACAACAGGATGCTGGACTCTGCCAGGCACCCAAGGATTTGAGCCAGCCTGTTCTGCCTTCCCAGTGCATAAGTAGGGAGCTAGATTGGAAGTGGAGCGCCCAAGACATGAACTAGCACCCATACAGGATGCCAGCAAAGCAAGCAAAGACTTGGCTTATCACCCCACAGTGCTGCCTCTGTGTCATGCTTTTCTAATTAAATGAAGCTCAACAATTTCAGAGAAAGAATGCTATAGTGACAAATTTGTTTTTTAATCTGAATAAACTAGACAACTGTATGAAATAGACTGCAATCCTTTTGTGAGAAAAACAAGTAAATTTCCGAAAATCCTGAAAAAAATTATAAACAGTACACTGGTTTGCCTCTGTGTACATGTGCACATCCACAGTGCACTAGCTGTGTGAAGACATAAAACACTTCCGCATTTATACTACTCATCCACTACAAAATGGGCAGCTTTCTGTGCAAAGCACCAGGGAAAGGCACATCTTGCCCCACATCATTAGGCAAAGTATAGCCCTCTGCCAAGCACATATTGGCTGAAGAATTTAAAGAGACCAACAAGAATTTATGGGGGAAGTAGAAGAATGGTAGAAAAGGCAATTCCTGTTAACGCCACAGTAAATGGTAAAGCTGCTACTGCACACTCGTACAACTGCAGAAGCATACAGATCAGGAGCTCAATGTGAGCCAAGTAACTACGGATGATTTCCACAAAAAACACCTGTGGCAGCATTTGCCATCCCAATTTTAGCACTTGTACAGATGCAGGTGAAGAAATCGGCATATTTTAGTAATCAGGAAAGCAGCATTCAGACAACTCATTCACTCTCAGTTTCACATAGACCCAACAACAGAGACAACATACAAAAATAAACAAGTACAGTAATGCAAGGGACTGACCACAAAAACAATTTTCACATGAGAACAAAAATGAAGATGAAACTAAATGCTCAGCACTTACGAACGTGTGTTCCCTATTTTGCTCGATGATAATTATCATTATGTGAGGGAAAAAAAATAAATTCACCCTTAAGAATATGGACAAGTCCACCTAATACCTTCCCAAAGCAGAAACTTTGCCCCTACAAGACCCTGTTCACAGAACAGAGGCAGCCAACAGGACCAGACTTGTTTTTCTACAAGCCTTATGAAGCACTTGCTCCTAGCAACCTTACAGTGTTTACAACCTGCCACCCCACTTCAACTAACAGTACCTCAGCTACACAAACTCTTTCCAGCTGGTTAGTCACAGTTGCTTCAGTCAGCAGCCAGGTAAGAAACAGGGCTATCAGAAGGAAAAATTGCTATGTGCCACACAATGTTTCTGAACAAATCAGGATTTCACAAAGATGTTGTCTCCATTCCCTCCACACCACCAAGCCTGCAGACCTCTAAACAATGACTCTTCCGCCCCTGTATCCAGGCTCTTATAGGCCACTTTCTTAAGAGGCGAAGAAAGGAAATTCAATGTGGCCACACTGAAAAAACAACTATGTTCAACAGGTAACCAAAAAAAAAAAACTACTTTTATGCAATATTCTAGCTTTCTTTTCTAATATTAAGCCTATAACCATCTGCCTGGGGAAGCTTTAGCTCTGTCACTTCTAAAAAGGAAGACTGTTAGCTTACCCATACACTCACCAAATGTTAAATAATGAAACCTATTTTCTTATCACATGTTATGAGAATGTATACGTAAGAATATCCACATGTAAAGAGACCAACCAGCAGATCCTGATCGAAATGCAATGAGAAGTTAGGGCTGACAACTGATATGAAGAAACATTAGTTAAGCCAAGAGAAGTTTTCATTAGATAGAAATATCCTATATCCAAACAGTTGTGGAAACTGAGGATGGAGTAGATGATCAAGTTCAAGTCTTTGGATTCCACAACATCATGAATAAACTATACACAACAACAACAGTCAGTTCAGGTTAATGTTATTTCTGGAACTTAAAAAAAATACGGAATGACTGTAATAGCCCCGCAAATACTACCCAAATCAAGATGAAGTTCAAAATGTATCCCTTTCAACTATGTAAACATAAAATAAAAAAATAAAATTAAAAATTAAAAATAAAAAATTCCATTAAAATTTTACAAATGCAATACAGGCAACTGGCAATGCAGCACAGTGGATTAAGCCAACATCTGCAAAGCCAGCATCCCATATTGTTGCCAATTTTGAGTCCAACTGCTCTACTTTTGACCCAGCTCGCCTAACGTTCCTGGGAAATAAATGGAAAATGGCCCAGTGCTTCCTTCAATTCCTGCACCCATGTGTAAGACTTGAACCAAACTACTGGCTCAGTCCTGGTTGAGTACAGCCATTTGGCAACTGAACCAACAGATGAAAGATCTCCATGATTTGAAAAAAAGTAAATAAATCAGTTTTTTAAATGCAACACAGAAACGAAGACAAATAGCAATGCAAACCAATTAGTAACATTTACCGTGTCTGAATTCCCTTCCAGCAATATATTGATAGCTTTGTTCACATCTCCATTACAGTCATGTAGGGCCACAATGCATTCATCTTGATTTTTTCCCGTCACTTCCATAAGCTTTTAAAAGTATTAGAAAATGGTTAGGGAGGCATCCCAAACTGGATGATTATCAAGATTCTTCTTGATATTCTTCAAATACAGAAATTATGCAACCCAGGCACATAAAGATGGCCATGTCCAAACTGAATCTACAGCATATGTTCTATTATTGTGTCTGCCCCATATCCTTTCAGTAAGTCTGTCAGACTTAAACTACATATCAACTCTCCCACAAGTTAAACTATGTACGTTTCAGTTTATTAAACAGTACCACATACATAAGTATACACTGAGGCCTGCACAATGGCACAGCAAATTAACCCTCTACCGGCAGAGTTAGCATCCTATATAGGTACCAGCTGGAGTGCCAGCTACTCCCATCCAGCTCCCTGGTGATGGCCTGGGAAAGCTGTGGAAGATGGTCAAAGTGCGTGGTCTCACAGCAGGAAACTCAGTTACTGGAACATGACTACTAAGCACTGGAATATGTGACTGTGAGGTAAGGATACAGTCTGATTTCTAGACTCTTGAAGACAAAATAAGCAACAAAGGATTTAAACCAGGATTAAGTTTTCAAGAAGACGTTTCATTAAAGTTGTAAATGAAGACATTACCTAAATTTGCTTGTAATTTTCCCAATAGAAACTTGGAATCACACATAAAATAGAAAGACAAACAGAGGTTGATACAATGGCTCAATTGGCTAATAATTTGCCTGAAAGTGCCGGTATCCCATATGGACACCAGTACCTGTCCAGGCTACTCCACTTCCCATCCATCTGTCTTGTTGCTTCGCCTCTCTGTAAATATGCCTTTCCAATTAACAGAAAAAAAAAAAAAATCTTTTTTTTTAAATTTAAGTTTTTCTAAATATTAAAAAATATTTAAGATTGTGCTAATTATTAAACATTTTTATATATGTAGGTATTTCATAATGCATAACCAATGGTCCACATAAACATTAGCATTTAAAAAACACTCCATCGGGCCCGGCACGGTGGCGCAAGTGGTTAAAGGTCCTCGCCTTGCACGCCCGGGATCCCATGTGGACGCCGGTTCTAATCCCGGCAGCCCCACTTCCCTTCCAGCTCCCTGCCTGTGGCCCGGGAAAGCAGTCGAGGACGGCCCAAAGCTTTGGGAACCTGCACCCGCGTGGGAGACCCGGAAGAGGCTCCTGGCTTCGGGTCGGCATAGTATCGGCCCGTTGCGCTCACTTGGGGAATGAATCATCGGACGGAAGATCTTCCTCTCTGTCTCTCCTCTCTGTATATCTGCCTTTCCAATGAAAAAATAATAAAAATAAATCTTTAAAAAAAAAATAAAAAACACTCCATCAGCAGGATGTATATATTCAATTCCTTCATCTGGATACAGACAAATACTTTAGCTACAAGTCAAAATTCAACACATGGACATGAGGTGCCACTAAAAAAGACTCACAGTTTAATAATGAAATCTTCAGTAAAATTATTTTTTGAAGCACAGTAACATCACATTACTAAAATCATACTCTTCTGTCAAATACATACCTGTTTAACTTTAGCTTCAAAATCTGAATCATTCTTATCAAAGATCACTTGAGCAAGACGCATCTGTTCAGCTGTTGCCTGGAAAGCAGACAGCCATTAAGCAGTTAAGCACAAAAACACGAATTATATGCCAAAATCTGGGTCAAATAAGCTCTCAAGCACTACAGCACCTCAATAACAGAATTATCAACTTTAAAAGGGAGTGTTGTGTACTGGACTAACACGCTATCTGTGACACCAGCACTCAACAAGTGTCACTAACATCTAATCCAGATTCCTACTGCTGACCTGCGAGAAGCACAAGACAGCCCACATGTGAGACCTGAAGCTCTTAGCTCTGCAGAGCGCCCAGCCGTGGCTACTGTGAACAGCTGGGTAGTGAAACAGCCCATGGAAGATCTCGGACTCTCTCACCGTTTCTAGTAAGTAACTCTTCCAAGCAAATCATTCCTTTTAAAAATAGGGGAGGGGGCCTGGCGCAGTAGCCTAGCGGCTAAAGTCCTTGCCTTGAATGCCCAGGATCCCATCTGGGTGCCGGTTCGAATCCCGGCAGCTTCACTTCCCATCCAGCTCCCTACTTGTGGCCTGGGAAAGCAGCCAAGGACGGCCCAAAGCCTTGGGACCCTGCACCCGCGTGGGAGACCCAGAAGAAGTTCCTGGATCCTGGCTTCGGATTGGCATAGCATCGGCCGTCGCGCCCACTTGGGGAGTGAATCATCGGACGGAAGATCTTCCTCTCTGTCTCTCCTCTCTGTATACTTGACTTTCCAATAAATAAATAAATCTTTAAAAATAAATAAAATAAAATAAATAAAAATAGGGGAGGGGAGCCCTCTATTGTAGGGTGTCCGTTTCCATGGTAAGCATCACATCAAGTAATACAAAGGAGAAATGAACTAAAGCCTCCCTCATCTTCACAGGTTATGTCACTCCTTTAAATTTTCTTCTTCTTGGGGAGGCAGATGAACCAACACAAGAGAAAAGCAAGAGAGCCAGACAACAGAAGCCAGGGGCTCAGGATTATAACCCAACTCCAGGATCAAAGCAAAACGGCTACTGAAAAGACATCTCAGTTCTGAAGAAAAAGCTTGTATTTTGCTAAATAGCAAAACAGTTTATAATCAATCCTTATTAAACTTTTTTTTAACTTTCCATAGGGGATATAACAGCCAGCTCATCTAGGCTGGAACATGACAAGTGCCTCCTCAGAGAACACAAAGTAGAACATGGTGGACTACCCTCCTGGCCCAGCTTTGCAGCAACTGTCTGGGCCTGTAGATTCACGAAGGTGGACTTGGTCAGCCAATAATTCTTGGCAAGATTTTCTCAACCCTGGTGCAACAAAGCTGGTAATAGAACTAACAAAAACAGTTAGTAACACCCTCAGAATACTCATCCCCACATTGGGGTTTCTGAGGTCAGCAGTTCACCATCCACTAGCCCTGGCTGCAAAAAGCAGCCTCCCTCCTTGCAAACAGAGGAGAAAAAAAAAATGAAGCATTTGTCCCACCAAGCTTCCTCAACACCTCAACTATACTCCCCCTAATCAAAGGTGCACAAGGGTCTGTATTCCTCAACTACGGAAACAATATTAAAAATTACAACAAGGAAAAAAAATTTTACTAGGACTGGCTTGTGGTGCATCAAGTAAAAGCTACTGCCTGGGTCCCAGCACCGTGGCATAGCGGCTAAAGTCCTTGCCCTGAATGCCCTGGGATCCCATATGGGCACCAGTTCTAATCCCGGCAGCTCCACTTTCTATCCAGCTCCCTGCTTGTGGCCTGGGAAAGCAGTTGAGGACGGCCCAAAGCTTTGGGACCTTGCACCCAAGCGGGAGACCTGGAGGAAGTTCCTGGCTCCTGGCTTTGGATCGGCGCAGCATCAGCTGTTGCCCTCACTTGGGAAATGAATCAACAGACATAAGATCTTCCTCTCTGCCTCTCCTTCCTTTGTTCACTTTAAGGTTACTCATTTAGAAACTACTCTTCTGGGGGCAGGTACTGCGGTGCTACCACAGTAAGATGCTGCCTGCTAGTACCCCGGAGCAGAACACCAGCTGAGTCCCAGTTGTTCTGCTTCCCATCCAAATCCCTGTTAATGCACCTGGGAAAGCACATTGGTGTCTCTCAGGCATCATCAAAGGACTGCCCCCCATCCCCAGGTGTTGATGTAGTTTGATAGGAAGGAACAGCTCCCTCTCTTAGTCATGCAAACACAGGAGAAAATAAGTAAAAATAAAGATTTGTTGGGCCCAGCACAGTAGTCAAGCAGCTAAAGTCCTCGCCTTGCACACACTGGGATCCCATATGAGCACTGGTTCTAATACTGGAGGCCCAGCTCCCCATCTAGCTCTCTGCCTGTGGCTGAAAAGGCAGTAGAGGACGGCCCAAAGTCTTGGGACCCTGCCCCCACGTAGGAGACCCAGAAGAAGCTCCTGGCTTCAGATCAGATCAGCTCTGGCCATTGCAGACACTTTGGGAGTGAATCATCGGATGGAAGATCTTCCTCTCTATCTGTCCTCCTCTCTGTATAACTCACTTTCCAATAAAAATAAATAATAAATCTTTTTTAAAAAGTTCTGCTCTGCTTCTGCCACACCCAACCCTCCCTACCCTAAACAGAGGCCCACATAGGTGAGCATCCCTCAAGTATGCAAACAATATTAATTAAATTAAGAAAACAAAAAAATACAAATTAGAACATGAGGATATGGAATACTTCCCACAGTTCAACAAGCAACTTTTTCTAGTAAGTAGATAAAACTGTGCCCAGGGAAAAACCACAGGTGAGACCACACTGGGAGGAAATCCAGCACTCCAGCCACCCAAAGACTTCCTTAGAAAATCAGCCCAAATTGTGCTAGCAGGTGGGAAGGGAAAAGGCAGGATGGGATAGCCTAAGTTCCCAGTAGTTCATGTGCCCTTTTTTCAAAAGATCTTGCTTGTTTTTACAGATATGATTAAAATAAGCAATTAAATTTTTAAAAGTTATTATTAGATAATCCCAACTACAAGTACTTGTAAATTGCATCACTTCTTTAATAAAAGAGCATTCGAGAAACTTTTTTTCTTAAATTCCGATCAATAAAAAAAATAATGTCCCAGCACTGTATATGAACAGTTCTTAATCAGGTTTGTGTGTGTGTTTTGGTTTGTTTCTTTTTAAGGCAGAGTTACAAGGAGAGAAGAAGAGGAACAAAGAAACAGACACACTCTTCCACCTGTTAGCTCACTCCCCAAGTGGCAGCAAGGGCCAGAGCTGGGTTGGTTTGAAGCCAGGATTTCTGGGTCTCCCATGTGGGTGTACAAGCCAAACACTTGTGCTAGCCTCCACTGCCTCCACGATCAAAAACAGAAACGGAACAGATGGCCAGCAGCCGTGGCCTAGCAGCTAAAGTCCTCGCCTTGACTGCACAGGGATCCCATATGGGCGCTGGTTCTAATCCAGGCAGCTCCACTTCCCAGCCAGCTCCCTGCTTGTGGCCTGGGAAAACAGTCAAGGACACCACAATGCTTTGGGATCCTGTACCCATGTGAGAGACCGGGAGGAGGTTCCTGGTTCCTGGTTCCAGAATGGCACAGAACCAGCCGTTGCATTGGGCGGAAGATCTTCCTGTCTCTCCTCTTCTCTGTATATCTGACTTTGTAATAGAAATAAATCTTTAAAACAAAAAAAAGAAAAAAGAAAAAAGAAATGGAACAGTCAGGACTCAAATCAGTTGCATATTTGATGTCAGCACTGCAAGTGTAGGCTTAGTGAGCTACACCATGGTGCTAGCCCCTAGTAAGTTTTTTTAAATAAATGCCAAGCTGGGTAACAGTATTTAAGAACAAACACTAGAAAGCAAAAGTATCTGTTATGATGAACAAGTCACAAAGCCAATCTTACTTAAGAATCAAATAGGGGCCAGTATTTGTGCTGTGGCTCTCTGCTACTATGCCCAGGGAGACAATGGATAAAGGCTCAGATAACAGCCCCTTCCACACTCACAGGAGACCCAGATGGAGTTCCAAGCCCCTGGCTTCAGTCTGCCCAGTTCTACCCTATGACATTATTTGGGGAGTGAACCAGCAGGTGAACACATTCTTCCCTTTGACCTGACTCATTTCTTTTTGATGGAATGATCAAGCAAAATCTACACATTGTCTCACTAAAACATCAACAGGGTGTGTCAGTATGAAAAGATTATACAAAGTATTTGCAATTATCAAAGGATAATCAAGCCAACTTAAAATTACCAGCCAAGGTTTATTTACTTTGTTGCATAGTGTCTCCCAAAAGAAGCTTGTTTATGAATTCAGCAAATAACATTATATAACTATGTGCCAGCTTTTATGCTCAGCACTTCTTGAACTGTCTCACCTCATTAAAAATAATATCTTAAATAAACTGCAGAGTAGGGTGCATCTAACATTAAAAGCATTACGCAAACAGATCTTGAAAATTAAGATCCATCCCAAGGCTGAAAGAAACACTCTCCTCAATGCTTTCAAGAAAAGGCCAGTGGCATGGCCTAGCAGCTAATGTCCTCACCTTGAACATGCTGGGATCCCATATGGGCGCCGGTTCTAATCCTAGCAGCTCCACTTCCCATCCAGCTCCCTGCTTGTGGCCTGGGAAAGCAGCCGAGGACAGCCCAAAGCTTTGGGATCCTGTACCCATGTGGGATGCCTGTAAGAGATTCCTGGATCCTGGCTTTGGATCGGCATAGCATTGGCCATTGCGGTCACTTGGGGAGTGAATCATTGGACGGTAGATCTTCCTCTCTGTCTCTCCTCCTCTCTATATATCTGGCTTTGTAATAAAAATAAATAAATCTTTAAAAAAAAAAGAAAAAATCTTGAAACATCTTAGACTTTACAAATAGTTCACTACATTAGAGTGGTACTTAATACATACTTTGATTTTCATAATGGATTCTAGAAGCACAGCAAAATTAACAATGACGGAGATGGTCTAAATGTTAGGTAGTAGCTACAGCCAACACCAGGATCAGTTTTCACAGTATATTCAATTGTCCTTTGCATCGACAATATTACATCCTTTATTTGCAGTCTCTATTTTAAACGAGGTCCAAAATCCTGAGGTTTCCTACAAAACTTTAAATGCCTTAAATCTATACAAGTCCAGAAGAATTTCACCAACACCCACCTGCACCACTTGTTTCTGCGGCTGTGTTGCCTGTGTTGTTGAAATCTGGGGTTTTTCCCGAGCACTGCGGCAACGGTCACTGCTCACTGAAGTCATCATATACAGTATATACAAAATAACGTATGTACAAAACAGAAAACCTGCAAGAAAACAGGCACAGTAAGCAAAACTTCCAGATCACAGGAAAACGCAAGCATTTCATTCAGGGGAAAGGTGAACACATAAGGTATAAAAGATCTGAAACAGAAACTCTTGAGAAAACAGCCATTTAAAGATTTAATTCACAAGCTGCTTTCAAACTAATTTTATTAATACAATCCAAATGTTTATGGTTTACGATCTCAATAATTATAAAAAGCATCAAGTACCACCAAATTTAACTACAAATCATTTCATCACTAAATTATTGTATAAACTTTTATCTGCCTCTTCCCACTTGCAACCGGCACTTCAATTTTAAGAAAACAAAGTATATAGCCAAGATTCTGTCCAGCTAATAACTAATTCTTTCATAACCTAATTCTAACTGCAATACCCATAATCAAATAAGCCTAAAAACAAAAACCATGAGAAACAATAAATCTTCCAATGCATCAAAAACAATTCTGAGAAAGCTAGTGCTGTGACTCAATAAGCTAATCATCCACCTTCAAGTGCCAGCATCCCAGATGGTTCACACTTCAAATGCTACAGTTCCCATCCAGCTGCCTGCTTGTGGCCTGGGAAAGCAATTGAGGACCACCCAAAGACTTGGGATTCTGCACCCATGTGGAAGACCCGGATGAAGCTCCGAATTCATGGCTTCAGATCAGCTCAGCTCCGGCCATTGTGGTCTTCCTCTCTGTCTCTCTTCCTCTCCGTATATCTGACTTTGCAATAAAAATAAATAAATCTTAAAAAAAAAAAAAAGCAAATCATAAACTGATACCAGTTCACACACCTTGGGATGGCTTTCACAATTTTTTTCATACAAAGTTTTGCTGGAAAGAATGTGGCAACTTGCCATCCTGAGCACCACTGAGAGAATGTAAAATGGTGCAACTGCTCTAGAAAACACAATAATGGTTCCTCAAAAGTCCAAGAGAAGGGCAGGCATGCAGCTCAACACTCAAAGCAACTCAGGGTGCCTGCCTTTCAGAGTGTCTGGGTTCAAGATCTCACTCTGCGTCAACTTCCAGGTTTCTAATAATGCACATCGTGGGGGAAGTAAATGATGGGCTAAATGCTTGAGTCACTGCCACCCATCTGGGAGACCCAGAGTTCTGGGATCCTGACTTTCATTAAACCCAGACTTACATGTTGCAGGCATTTGGGGAATGAACTAAGGAAGAGATAGACATCTCTGTCTCACTGTCTTTCAGTTATATTAAATATATATTTTAAAAATCCAACCAACACGGGGCCAGCGTCATGGTGTAGCAAGCTAAGCCTCTACCAGCGAGGATAGCACCCTCTATGGTCACTGACTCAAGTCCTGGCTGCTCCACTTCTGATCCAGTTTCCTAATACTAGCCTGGGAAAGCAGTGTAGGCTGGCCTTGCATCGATGTGAAAGATCTTCAGGAAGCTCCTGGTTCCTGGCTTCAGATGAGCCCAATTCCAGCTGTTGCCACCATTTGGGGAGTAAATCAGGAGAGAAGATTTCTGTCTTTCCCTACCACCTCAGATTCTCTCAAGTAAAACAAAATGAATCTTAGAAACTTTCCTCTGTATTTTTCTATTAACTCAACTTCTCAAATAACAGTAAGAAAGAAAATATTTTGGGGAAAGTGAGTCTTTTAGCCTGGGGATTAAAATAACTCATGTCCCACAGTAGTTTATCCAAAAGCAATTCCAGGACCCACCTTTGGTGGTCCAAGTAGCTAGGCTCTTGCCACTCAAGTCACAGAGCTGGGGACCAAGTCCCTGCTCCTTGTTTTTGGCCCCTGCACGGCGGTGTCAGCCACTGTTGGTATATGGGGAATGAGCCAGCAGATGGCAGCTCTCAGTTTGCTTTTCTGTCTCTCAAACAAGTACATAGTTCAGGGGAAATTGGAATTCTTTTAATTCCACTTTTTCAGGAACTTTTTAAAGTCCCATAAAAATCCTGATTTGTCAATTCCACCCCCTAGTATATATCATGCCAGGCATATATATCTAACTGTAGACTTTCAAATAAGTAACAATTTTTTTAAATTCAGACTTTGTTCTCTGTCAATCACGGTTCTACATATTGACATTGAAATGTCAGGACAGATGACTTCCTATTCATGAAAAATATCTTGCTTAGATGTGAAGCAAAAACTTCCACAGGGAAAATAGATTTTATACAACATGGGGAAAAAAGGTAATGAAAACCCTCTGGGAAAACACAGCTCAGAAAAAAGTCAACTGGATGTATGATTCAACAAACTTTTTGGTGTTATTTTTATATAAAACTTCTGAAGACAGAGAATTGCTTACTCTAGATAAGAATATTAGTTACCTAAATAAACACCAGTCTTAGTGATTATTACCAACACTGAAACACACAAATGACAAAGGTATGGAAAGTAGACCATTAAAAAAAAAAAACCCGACACCTTCAACTATATTGTCATTTGGAAAAAAAATTCTTTGTCCTCCTTTCTGGAAACAGTACTATTTGCAGTAAAGAGGCACACTTCGCACCATCCAGTCGTCACACCATAGCAATTCGGTTCACACTTGTGCTTCATCCCTTCTATCACCCTCTTGAGTTCTACTATCCTGGAAGAGTCCAAGGGAGTTCTCAGAATAGAAACAGACAAGAGCAAGAGATTCTAAAAATAATCTAGTAGGAACTCAAACACACATAGCTCGGGTTCTTAAACTGCAGGAGATACCAGGTTACCTCAAGTTTAAAACTATTTTACCACACCTCATTCAAAGTATACTTAAAAAATTAAGACTGTTTAACATGGGTCTAAAAAAAAACCTGCATAGTACTATGATTCAATGTCTATTAAAAAAAAATTAGAAGTAGACATTTGGTCTAACAGCTGAAACCTACATACCACAGGAGACCATGGGGGTTTGGGATTGGGGGCGTTCAATGCAGAACAGCCAGTTAAGCCACTGCCCTGGATGCTAGCATCCCCGACGGGCACTTGTTTGTGTTCTGTTCTACTTCCAATTCAGATTTCTGCTAACGCTCTGGGAAAGCAGCAGAAAACGTACTTGCACCCTGCCACCCTGAGGGAAACCCAGAAGACCCTAGCTTCAGCCTGGCCCAGCCCTGGCTGTTTTGCACATCTGGAGAATGAATCCACTGATAGATTCTATCTCTTCCTATCTCTCTGTAACCATTTTTATTTTATTTTATTTTATTTTATTTTATTTTATTTTTTTGTTCTGTAACCATTTTGAAATAAATAAATCTTAGATAGTTTTTAAAGGGGAAAAAAAAAAAAGGAATGCATGGGTTTGATAAGCAGAATTTTGTGCTAAGTAGATCTATGGAGGAGGTGATGGGAGCTCCAAACATAGCAGTAACTTGGATTGAGGCCCCAGAGGGTCCCCACATTAGTACCAGCTGTCACCAACACTATAACCACACGTACCACCACCAGCATGTGAAGAATGAGCCAGCAGATGTGAGTTCTATTCGTCACTCTTTCTACAAAAGCAGGAGTGGATGCTTAGCCTGTCAGTAAGATGCAGTCTGGAATGTCCTGTCCCTCCCCCCAACAGTACCTGGGATAAATGGTCAGCTCTGGCTCCTGCTTCCAGCTTCCTGCTCCTGGGAGAACTCAAGGAGCAGTAGTGATACAGTGATGACTCAAGCGAGTTTAGGATTCTGCTGCTGAGCCCTAGACCCTAGGCTAATAGCCAAGTCAGGGTGGCATTTTGCACATTTGAGGAATGAACCAGCAAACAGAGAATCTGCCTCTTGTCCGTCTTTCAAGTATGTTTTAAAGGGGAGTAAGGTGCAGAATCAGTGGCGTAACAGTCAAGACACCTGCTATATCCACATCCCCTATCACAGTCGCTGGGTTAGAATCCCTTCTGTGCTCCCAATTCCAGGTCTCTAAATGCACATCCTGGGAGCAGCAGGCCAGGTGGCTCAAACGGTTGGGTAGCAGCCACCATGTTGGATACCTGGACTGGGTTCATAGCTCTGCCTTCACACTCAATCAGTCCCAGCTGTTGTGAGCATTTAGAGACTGACTAGTGGGTTTGAGATCTCGGTCTGCATATAAAAAAAAAATACAAAAAACATTTAGGAAAGTAGTATATAAATCTCCTTAAAATCAAAGCACAAAACGGTCTAAATATTTTGTAATACAAGTAAGAGTAAAGCAGCAGAGTAAGTCAACAAGACTGAGCCTCAACCATTCCAAGTAGGAGGTATTTTTAGAAAAAGTTTCAACTATTTTTCAAGGACTCTTCAAGAAAGGATACTTCAGTGGGACAGCTGCATATTCAAGTGATCTCAATTTAGAACAAAATGAAGATGGTGAACAACCAAATCCAGTTTTATTAAACTTTAGATAAGCAAATACCAAATATTTCAACGGAATCCTAACTTCTTAACATTAAGGCAATAAATATCTGGGTAAAACTTAACTTAGAATGTGTGTGCGTGCATGTATATGTATATGTAATTATACACACACACACACATATATATATAATATGTACAAAAACAAACCTATATAAAATATCCTTGGGTAAAACTTAACTTAGAAGCCATGTGATACATCCTTAATGGAAAAAGAAAAAAAAAAGCATACACATCTAATGACTTTGGGAAGTTACAGAACACTTTCTAACGCCATGCTGAGGATAGGGGCGATTCCTCTCTGTCTCTCCTCTTTGTATATCCGCCTTTCTGATAAAAATAAAATAAATCTTTTTTAAAAAAAAGATCCATCTGTATGTATATCATCTCCTAGTTTAAAACCAGCAATAACGAGCAATGCCTGCAGTTTACTATGTGCTTTCTATCAATATTAGCTCATTAGCCATCCACAAGCAATCTACTTAATACTATTACTCTATTCTATGGATAGTATATACCATTCCTTTTGTGTAAGGTACTGTTAACTGTAATTGGCATCACTTGCACAGCTCATGACTTAAAAAAAAAGGAAAACTAGCACTGTGATACAGGCTAAGCCATCAACTGCATTGCCAGCATCCCATATCAGGCATCCACTATCAGAACCAGTTCAAATCCCAGCAGCTCCACTTCAGATCCAGCTCCCTGCTAACTAGCTCGAAAAGCAATCTAAGATGGTTCAAGTGCTTGGGTCGGGTCCAGCGTAGCAGGCTAGTGGCTCAAGTCTTTGCCTTACACGCTCCAAGATCCCACATAAGCACCAGTTCAAGTCCCAGCTGCTCTACTTCCCTTCCAGCTCCCTGCTTGTGGCCTGGGAAAGCAGTCAAGGATGGACCAAAGCCTTGGGACCCTGCATCCAAACTTCACCACTCAATCCAGTTTTCTGCTGGTCACTCCCAAGCATGCAGCAGATTAATCAGTACGCAGGGTCCCTGTCACCTACATGGGAGACAGAGTCCTGAGCTCCAGCTTTGGCCTAGCCTATCCCTAGCTGTCGTACACATTTGAGGAGTAAACCAGTGGATGAAAGCTCACTCAAGATTTTCTCTCTCTCTCTCTCTCTGCATTTCATATAAAATTGAAGAACAATAAAAACTTAAGGATAAAATATAAGAGTCTAAAATTGTGTCATTTCAAGTTAAGCCACCACATGCAATGTTGGCATAATGGATTAAGTTGCCATTTTCAGCACCAAGCATTAGTTCATGTCCACTGCTCCAATTCTTTTTTTTTATTCATTTTATATTACTAAGATTTATTTATTTTTGTTACAAAGTCAGAAATACAAAGAAGAGGAGAGATAGAGAGGAAGATCCTCCATCCACTGATTCACTCCAAATGACTACAATGGCCAGTAGTGCTGTGACAATCCAGAGCCAGGAGCTTCCTCCAGGTCTCCCACATGGGTGCAGGGTTCCAAGGCTTTGTGCCATCCTCAACTGCTTTCCCAGGCCACAAGCAGGGAGCTGGATGTGAGTAGGGCTGCCAGGATTAGAATTGGCGCCCATATGGGATCCCGGTGCATGCAAGGCAAGGACTTTAAACTCTAGGGCATTGAGCCTGGTTCTGCTGCTTCAATTCTGATCCTGTTTCCTGCTAATGTGCCTGGAAAAGCAGGATGCCCCAAGTAGTTGCGTTTACTAACATCTGAGACCTAGACTATCAACTCTGGGTTTCCATGGAGTCCAGCTCCATTCATCGTGGCCATTTGGAGAGTAAACCAGATGTTGGTCTCCTCTCTCTCACTACACTTCACCTTTCAAATAAATCAATCTAAAAATGAAAATTAACTCAATTAAATATATTCCTTATTTCTTTGTTTCTAGCCAGTGCTCAAACCAGCCTTGACATTCTCCACAACTGGATCTGCTTTTTCGCCTTTAATTTCCAGTTAGATTCTCAATAGCATAATGAAGATTTCCAATTCATTTTTCTATTCCCCCAATGTGGACAGCAATTACTTTCAATTCAACATCAATACGACCCAGGGACATTTTAGGGTCAGTTAAAAATATGCTAAACAGAGCCCAGCATGATGAATCAGCTCTTGGCGAGAGAACATGTGGATGGAAGATTTTTCTCTGTCTCTCCTTCTCTGTAAATCTGTTTTTCAAATAAAAATAAAGGTTTTAAAATAAAGGTTTAAAAAAATACACTACACAACTCTCCTGACAAGCAGCTTCAGTTCTTCTCTGTAAACTTAGAGCCGGATGTCACTTTTCTCTGTGAGCTATCAACAGCCACTTCTCGGCGGCATTCCTGACCTCCTCCCAAGACACATCTACATTGGAAAAGAGCTTAGAGATGTTCACCACGCTGATTAGAACAGCTTGAAAACGTCAAAATTAAAAGAACTGAAGGCACAGGTCTCCAGTTAAACTAAATAAATTTATCAATACAGACACATACAATGAATCCAGTCCAACAGAACTCAGCATAGGATTTCTTTTCTTTTTTTTTTTTTTTAAGATTTAGGTTTTGTTTTTGTTTTGCAAAGTCAGATATACAGAGAGGAGGAGAGACAGAGAGGAAGATCTTTCGTCCGATGATTCACTCCCCAAGTGACCTCAATGGCCAGTGCTGAGCCGATCCAAAGCCAGGAGGCAGGAGCTTCCTCCAGGTCTCCCACGTGAGTGCAGGACCCCAAAGACTTGGGCCATCCTCAACTACTTTCCCAGGCCACAAGCAGGGAGCCAGATGAGAAGCTGGGCAGCCAGGATTAGAACCAGTGACCATATGGGATCCTGGCACAATCAAGACTTTAACCACTAGGCTACTGCGCCAGGCCCACAGATGAAGATCTTTCTGTCCCTCCTTCTCTCTGTAAATCTGCCTTTCCAGTAAAAACAAATCTCTGGGGGAAAAAAACCCCTGCTAAATCAAGTAAAATGTAACAGATTTTATGAGACACTTCATGGGCTGTTATTGTTGCTGAACAGATAATCCTGCACTATCAACATCAATATAGGCACCAGCTTGAGATCCGGCAGCTCCATCTCTGATCCAGCTCCCTGCCGAAACACGTGGAAAAGCAGCAAACAGCCCCAGCGCTGTAGCCCTACACCTGCTTGGGAGACCAGGAACAAGTTCTGGGCTCCTGACTTTAGCCTGACCCAGGGCTAGCCTTTGTGGTCACTCAGGAGAGAAAATACAGATGGAAAATGGACTCTTTGCTTCTCTCTCTTTTTTTTTTTAAAGATTTATTTATTCATTGGAAAGTCAGATATACAGAGAGAAGGAGAGACAGAGAGGAAGATCTTCCGTCCAATGACTCACTCCCCAAGTGACTGCAAAGGCCGATGCTATGCCGATCCGAAGCCAGGATCCAGGAACCTCCTCCAGGTATCCCATACAGGTGCAGGGTCCCAAAGCTTTGGGCCGTCCTCGACTGCCTTCC